CGTAATTATAATAAGGCTTTGATATGGATTTCTGAAATGAGAACAAGGATAGCAAGGATGCGATATGGATTTGATATGAACCATTTGGACTCTTGGAATGACACAAGGCTGTATGTGGTGTGATATGAATTTGATCTCTGAAAATGAAAACCAGGCTATATTGGATGTGATATTGATTTAATATGAATTTTTGGACTCTGACAAAGAAAGCTAAATCCAATGTTCCAATAATAATTTTCATTGGTACATTATGTCGTGCAAATGCTGAAAGTGCATTAGTTATATATGTTCGTGAAGTTGGCAGCCTAGCAGCCTAGCAGCCTAGCAGCCTGAAGTTGGCAGCCTAGCAGCCTAGCAGCCTGGCAGCCTGAAGTTGGCAGCCTAGCAGCCTAGCAGCCTGGCAGCCTGGCAGCCTAGCAGCCTAGCAGCCTAGCAGCCTAAAGAAAACTAAGAATAGTACATACATGAAAACCGTCTGAAATACATTAGTAGCACTTCTTTAGATCATTCCAATATCGTGATCGCCTTTTTCAATATCGTGATCTTTATTTTTAAAGATGTTGAACTTTATCGTAACATATTTTTTTCATTCTGACGCTTCGAAATTTGAAGTTAGCAGCCTAGCAGCCTGGCAGCCTAGCAGCCTAGCAGCCTGGCAGCCTAACAGCCTAAAGAAAAGTACGGATAATTCAAACATGAAAACCGACGGAAATGAGTCGGTAGCACATACTTAGACTATTCCACGTCTTTTTTCAGTATCGCCAACTTATTTTTTTTAAATATTGAACTTTGCTTTTTTTCTTTACTCTTCGAAATTTGTGAAGCTATCAGCCTAACAGCCTGGCAGCCTAGCAGCCTGGCAGCCTAGCAGCCTAGCAGCCTGGCAGCCTAGCAGCCTAGCAGCCTAGCAGCTTAGCAGCCTTAAGAAAACTAAGAATAGTCCAAACATGAAAACCGTCGGAAATACATTAGTAGCACTTCTTTAGATCATTCCACGCCTTTTTCAATATCGTGATCTTTATTTTTTAAGATGTTGAACTTTATCGTAACATATTTTTTTCATTCTGACGCTTCGAAATTTGAAGTTAGCAGCCTAGCAGCCTGGCAGCCTAGCAGCCTAGCAGCCTGGCAGCCTAACAGCCTAAAGAAAAGTACGGATAATTCAAACATGAAAACCGACGGAAATGAGTCGGTAGCACATACTTAGACTATTCCACGTCTTTTTTCAGTATCGCCAACTTATTTTTTTTAAATATTGAACTTTGCTTTTTTTCTTTACTCTTCGAAATTTGTGAAGCTATCAGCCTAACAGCCTGGCAGCCTAGCAGCCTGGCAGCCTAGCAGCCTGGCAGCCTAGCAGCCTAGCAGCCTTAAGAAAACTAAGAATAGTACAAACATGAAAACCGTCGGAAATACATTAGTAGCACTTCTTTAGATCATTCCACGCCTTTTTCAATATCGTGATCTTTATTTTTTAAGATGTTGAACTTTATCGTAACATATTTTTTTCATTCTGACGCTTCGAAATTTGAAGTTAGCAGCCTAGCAGCCTAGCAGCCTGGCAGCCTAGCAGCCTAGCAGCCTGGCAGCCTGGCAGCCTAACAGCCTAAAGAAAACTACGGATAATACAAACATGAAAACCGACGGAAATGAGTCGGTAGCACATACTTAGACTATTCCACGTCTTTTTTCAGTATCGCCAACTTAATTTTTTAAATATTGAACTTTGCTTTTTTTTTTATTTACTCTTCGAAATTTGAGCAGCCTAGCAGCCTAGCAGCCTGGCAGCCTAAATAAAACTAAGAATAGTACAAGCATGAAAACCGTCGGAAATACATTAGCAGCACTTCTTTAGATCATTCCACGTCTTTTTCAATATCCTGATCTTTATTTTTTAAGATGTTGAACTTTATCGTAACATATTTTTTTCATTCTGACGCTTCGAAATTTGAAGTTAGCAGCCTAGCAGCCTGGCAGCCTAACAGCCTAAAGAAAACTAAGGATAATACAAACATGAAAACCGCCGGAAATGAGTCGGTAGCACATACTTAGACTATTCCACGTCTTTTTTCAGTATCGCGAACTTAATTCTTTTAAATATTGAACTTTGTTGTTTTTTTTTGCTTTTTTTTACTCTTCGAAATTTGTGAAGCTAGCAGCCTAACAGCCTAGCAGCCTGACAGCCTATCAGCCTGGTAGCCTTGCAGCCTAGCAGCCTGGCAGCCTAGCAGCCTGGCAGCCTAGCAGCCTGTTAGCCTAACAGCTTAGCAGCCTAACAGCCTAAAGGAAACTAAGGATAATACAAACATGAAAACCGTCGGAAATGAATCGGTAGAACATACTGAGACCATTTCACGTTTTATTTCAGTATCGCGATCTTCATTCTTTTAAATATTGAACTTTATTTTTTTTTCATTCTGATGCTTTGTAATTTGCGGGATTTAACATGATTTCGAATAACGTAGGAAGTAGTCTAAGTCTTGGAACATTTTCTCGGCTACTAATGTCGCTGTCTATGGACAATAAGTGACGTCATCTGAGTTATTTATGATATGCTATTTTGTATGGATATGTTTATAATGAAGTTGACGATGTTTAAAGCATATTTATTTAAGGTCTGTTAAGATAAAAATGTGTTGAAATGTAAAGAGATATATAATGCATATGTTTAAACGAACACAAAAATGAACATAAAGATTATCTGAACTTAAGAACAATACCCGTACGACACATCAAAATAATGGGGCGGTGTTGCATGCCTCTGTAATTGTTATGCTGATAATTTCACATCATATTATACATGTATATAATTTTCATTTTCCTCGATAAATGTTACTCACGTAAGTGCGTTACGCAAACTACGCACCGGGTTAGGCTCTCGTGTTTTCAGCAAAAAAGTGAAAGAAAAAAAAAGCAAAGTTCAATATTTAAAAAAATTAAGTTGGCGATACTGAAAAAAGACGTGGAATAGTCTAAGTATGTGCTACCGACTCATTTCCGTCGGTTTTCATGTTTGTATTATCCGTAGTTTTCTTTAGGTTGCTAGGCTGCTAGGCTGCTAACTTCAAATTTTGAAGCGTCAGAATGAAAAAAATATGTTACGATAAAGTTCAACATCTTAAAAAATAAAGATCACGATATTGAAAAGGCGTGGAATGATCTAAAGAAGTGCTGCTAATGTATTTCCGACGGTTTTCATGTTTGTACTATTCTTAGTTTTATTTAGGCTGCCAGGCTGCTAGGCTGCTCAAATTTCGAAGAGTAAAATAATAAAAAAAGCAAAGTTCAATATTTAAAAAAATTAAGTTGGCGATACTGAAAAAAGACGTGGAATAGTCTAAGTATGTGCTACCGACTCATTTCCGTCGGTTTTCATGTTTGTATTATCCGTAGTTTTCTTTAGGCTGCCAGGCTGCCAGGCTGCTAGGCTGCCAGGTTGTTAGGCTGATAGCTTCACAAATTTCGAAGAGTAAAGAAAAAAAGCAAAGTTCAATATTTAAAAAAGATAAGTTGGCGATACTGAAAAAAGACGTGGAATAGTCTAAGTATGTGCTACCGACTCATTTCCGTCGGTTTTCATGTTTGTATTATCCGTAGTTTTCTTTAGGCTGTTAGGCTGCCAGGCTGCTAGGCTGCTAGGCTGCCAGGCTGCTAGGCTGCTAGGCTGCTAACTTCAAATTTCGAAGCGTCAGAATGAAAAAAATATGTTACGATAAAGTTCAACATCTTAAAAAATAAAGATCACGATATTGAAAAAGGCGTGGAATGATCTAAAGAAGTGCTACTAATGTATTTCCGACGGTTTTCATGTTTGTACTATTCTTAGTTTTATTTAGGCTGCCAGGCAGCCTAGGCTGCTAGGCTGCTCAAATTTCGAAGAGGAAATTAAAAAAAAAAGCAAAGTTCAATATTTAAAAAAATAAAGTTCGCGATACTGAAAAAAGACGTGGAATAGTCTAAGTATGTGCTACCGACTCATTTCCGTCGGTTTTCATGTTTGTATTATCCGTAGTTTTCTTTAGGCTGTTAGGCTGCCAGGCTGCTAGGCTGCTAGGCTGCCAGGCTGCTAGGCTGCTAGGCTGCTAACTTCAAATTTCGAAGCGTCAGAATGAAAAAAATATGTTACGATAAAGTTCAACATCTTAAAAAATAAAGATCACGATATTGAAAAAGGCGTGGAATGATCTAAAGAAGTGCTACTAATGTATTTCAGACGGTTTTCATGTATGTACTATTCTTAGTTTTCTTTAGGCTGCTAGGCTGCTAGGCTGCCAGGCTGCCAGGCTGCTAGGCTGCTAGGCTGCCAACTTCAGGCTGCCAGGCTGCTAGGCTGCTAGGCTGCCAACTTCAGGCTGCTAGGCTGCTAGGCTGCTAGGCTGCCAACTTCACGAACATTAGTTATATTTTATCAATGTGAAATAAAACTTGTAATAACAAATAACATAGACACGTCATGGCATTTAGAGTTTTAGGTTCGACAAAACTTAAATAGGAGCCATGCGATGTTTGGCATGGCTTAGCTCTACACAAAGGTTCGACATAACCGTTTCCAACAGGATTTACATAATTCATGTAAAATTTGATACATGTATTCATTACGTACTAATGGCCTATTCGACAGAGATTTATATTAATGTTGACATAATATTTTGCGACATGTATTAAAATGATTTCCCTAATAAGTGTTTTGTCGGTATAAAAATACTTAAAAGATACATAAATACATTGTATGGTTAAAATTACCATTTACAAATGAGACGTTACAAATTCAAAACTAAGATGCGCAGTTTAAATATCGCGACAAAGAATATGATTTTATCAACAGACACTTCCAAAATATCACAATGGTATGACTGTGAAGCATCGGCGTTCTGAAAGATTTTTTCTTCTTTATTTTTTTCACGGCAAAAATGTCGATTTATACGTTGCAGGAAAACAAAGTACTATTTAAGATATAAACAGACGCTAAGTGGTAACGGAAATAGATGTTCAAGAGACATTAATTCTTCGATCGATTGAACGACAGCATACAATATCTCAGAGCCTGTCATCTCACGCACTTTGGGCAGTAATTTATACCGAACCTTTGATAATTTATTGACGATATCTCATTGGCCAGCAGACTGACATCAGCCCGCGCAAAAAGTAAAATTAGGAATAAACGGAATTCATATATAGCGCGAATGAATAATGATTTCGGTGTAGAATGATAAAAAGGGAGATTCAATAACGCTTATAACAAAACAAAAAAGTAAATTAAATAAAAAATAAGATAAAAATAAAACATAAAGCAGCGCATAAAAGACGAAAGCTCTATTATATTTTCGGATTTGTAAATCTACTTGGAGAAAGGTATGTTGTTGGTTTATTTTCGTGATTTAATTTCAAACATAAGTCTTAAGATTTGAAACGTTTTAAGGTAAGTGAAATATTTCATATTAAATTTCTGATTTACCTTTTATTTTATTTTTTTTTATATTATTTTTATTTTTGTAGTTAGATGGTTATTGAATAATAAATTAATAGTAAAATGCGTTGAAACTGGAATATTTTGAATTACTTTTATTTCTTATTAGTGAAGATGTATAAATATTTTTCATCTGTTTTGATTTTAACTTTGGTAGAAGATAAAGATTCAAACAATATCGAGGGGATAATAGTTTTTTTTTAATTTGGTAATTTGGAGAAAGAAAGACCATAGGTAGATATATCTATCAGTATTCTTAGACATATTTTCATTCTTGAGTTTTTCCCCTATCTTTTATGTTATTTCATCTTTTAGAATAAAGTTTTTAGAATCTCACGTGTATATATACATATTTTGTACAACTCTTTGATTTAATAGTTTAGTTTATCAAATTATCCTGTAACTTGAAAGAAGCTGCTGTAAGAAATGTAAAATTGCACGTTGAAGGTTAATTATTGTAAATTGATTTCCCGTATTATGTTCTGTTCTGTAATACATTTATTAATATATTATTTTGTATTATAATTATCATAACATTTGTTTATCATACGAACCGCAAATGTCAGTTTTTCCATAATTCTTGTTAAATTCAATGATCGAACGTCCTTAGTAATATAAATATCAATATCATTGTAACCATGATTATTATCACCGATTTCATCATTAGCGTCATCATCATCGTCATCATCATCATCATCAACAACAACATCATCATCACAAATAGTATCATTAGCATAATCATTATCATCATCATTATCAATATCATCATTAACGTTATCACCATTATTATCACACTATCACCAGTAAATATTACCATTATCATCACCATCACCATTATCATCATCATCACCATTATCATCATCATCAGTATCACCTTGCTTATCTTCAATCGTTATTTCGTCAAAATATCAAATTTCTGTTTTTACACAGCGATTGCATAATATATTATTACGTATTGTGGTATATTGTTGTTTATTGTTGTTTACTATGTAACAACACTTGCTTACTAACAGGTCCGAGTTCACCGATATCTTTTTATCATCAGTTTATAATTTTAATGATAAAGATAATTTTCTACTTTTTCTATTTCGGACGTCTGCATTAAACTTTATGTGTTGGTTATAGTGTTTATTAGTAAGCATTTACAAAATTAAATTGGTCAAGAACGATCCAGCCGTTCGATCAATTTAATTTATCAAACGCTTACTAAAAATCACCAAACAGTTTATTGTTTGAAATTGTTTTTGGATAAAACTATCGATTTACTAGACTGATTAAATTTAGCCGATTTACCAAAGCAAATGTGTTAGGGTTCATTTGAAATACTGCAATCTTATTGAACCAAAATGTAATTTTAAACATTAATGCAAGGTTAAATTGCGATATCAAACGATTTTGATGTTTATCGTGCGTAGTTATTGAACGGCAATGATTCTTATCAAAACTATTAAGGTCTAAGTATGTTTTGTAAAATAGAACGCATCGTGAAAGATCAGAGATTTAATTTTAGTTTAGAAAGAAAAAACAAACAAACAACAAAAACAACAACAGAAATATAGCTTGTATAAGAATATAGGTCTTTTAGATAATCATTATTTTTTATACCAACTATTTATGTGTATTTCTTGATCATTACGTGTTGTAATCAGATTAATGTAAAATCAATCAGTCAGTCAATCAATCAATCAATCAATCAATCAATCAATCAATCAATCAATCAATCAATCAATCAATTGAAATTACAAATACTTTATTGGAATATTAAGTTTAAAAGAGGAGTAAAACATTTGTTTCTTCCTTTGATGATTATATCGTTTCTAACCAAAGACACAGTCTTTTCCTAATTCTTTTGCACTTCCGGTGCCATTCTGGATTAATACATCATTTTTAAAATGGACTGATCTAAAATGCACACATTTTTAATACTTTATTTCAAATATTGATAAAAACAATAGAAATATATAATTTGGATATCCTTATAAAAATGCTTGGAAAAAAAAATAAACGTTGCCAAAGTTTTTAGCGGTTGAATATGATGCATAATAATATTATGTTCTTGAACATTTTATTATCTGCTATTATATAGTTTATATGTACTATCAGATCATGTATCTCATACTTATCAATAACATGAATGTAAAATGCTTTAATTGTTTGCTGTTATGTCTTATACTAAATACTATGAAAGTAATTTAATGTTAATTATTTATTAATTTATTGTATTTAAGACATTTCTTTATAAAGCAATGCACTTTAATAAGAAATAAATATGATAGAATTAAATACACACAATTTAATACACAACTCATCGTCTTACCTCAGAACTCAAATTTAGAGTTTCAAGTAACACATACTATATATGCATAATTATAAATAATTGATAAATAGTCTTTTTGAGAAAAATAAGAGCAAACTATAGACCGACAAAGTTTTGATTTAAACATGTGTAACATGCCTCAAGTACATGTTTTGTGTATATATGTTAGAAACATGCATGTATTCGGGAATACTAATTGATATATGACGTTTTAATCACGATCTGTGGATTTCCGCTAGAAAATTCTTAAAATTCTATGTCAGCTTAATGATCTGCTGTGAGTTATTGAAACATTATCCGAGCAAAATGAGCGATATAAAGGAATATAAATTTTAAGAAACACACTCCCACAAATTTTCAGCAACTACGTTATGCTATAGAAAAGGAAACAAAACAAAGAAGAAGAAAAAACGATAGAAAAGAAGCCAAACTTAAACTCATAAATTTATTAAAGTAAAGAAAACAAAACTTTCCTATAAAACAGTCACGTTACGCATTTTTTATGCCTTGGCTTGATAATAAATACAAAAAGAATGATAGACGATGAAAGGCAAGTTTTTTTTCCTTATCGCTTGGCTTTGAGATACTTAGTGTGTTAAAGCTATTTAAATAGCTATCTAATGCTGTTGTACTTTTCTTAACGTTAAAAAGACAAATATTTTTTATATAATTATATGAAAATCAAATGTTTAAATAAATATATCTGAATATGTATGTCTGTGTGTAGGAAGTGTTTATGCTTAATAAAACCCGCTAAAAATAAATTTCTGCTAGATTTCCGCGGCGGTACGGCTTATTTAAAGTCTGCTTGAATTTCGCGGTAGTACGGCTAGTTATAAAGGTCTGCTGGGTTTCCGCGTTAGTAAGGCTTATTGAAAGTGTGCTAGAATTCCAAGGTAGTAAGGCTTGTTTTAAAGGTATGCAGGCTTTCCACGGAAGTACGGCTGGTTGAAAGTCTGCTGGGTTTCTGCGGTAGTACGGCCTGTTGAAATTCTGCAGGATTTCTGCGGTAGTGCGGCTTGTTGAAATTCTGCAGGATTTCTGCGGTAGTTCGGCCTGTTGAAATTCTGCTGGATTTCTGCGGCAGTGCGGCTTGTTGAAATCCTGCAGGATTTCTGCGGTAGTGCGGCCTGTTGAAATTCTGCTGGATTTCCGCGGTAGTACGGCCTGTTGAAATTCTGCTGGATTTCTGCGGTAGTGCGGCTTGTTGAAATTCTGCTGGATTTCTGCGGTAGTACGACCTGTTGAAATTCTGCAGGATTTCTGCGGTAGTGCAAACCTGTTGAAATTTTGCAGGATTTTCTGCGGTAGTGCGGCCTGTTGAAATCCTGCTGGATTTCTGCGGTAGTGCGGCCTGTTGAAATTCTGCTGGATTTCTGCGGTAGTGCGGCTTGTTGAAATTCTGCAGGATTTCTGCGGTAGTACGGCCTGTTGAAATTCTGCAGGATTTCTGCGGTAGTGCGGCTTGTTGAAATTCTGCAGGATTTCTGCGGTAGTACGGCCTGTTGAAATTCTGTAGGATTTCTGCGGTAGTACGACCTGTTGAAATTCTGCAGGATTACTGCGGTAGTGCGGCTTGTTGAAATTCTGCTGGATTTCTGCGGTAGTACGGCTTGTTGAAATTCTGTAGGATTTCTGCGGTAGTACGGCTTGTTGAAATTCTGTAGGATTTCTGCGGTAGTGCGGCTTGTTGAAATTCTGCTGGATTTCTGCTGTAGTACGGCCTGTTGAAATTCTGCAGGATTTCTGCGGTAGTGCGGCCTGTTGAAATTCTGCAGGATTTCTGCGGTAGTACGGCTTGTTGAAATCCTGCAGGATTTCTGCGGTAGTGCGGCCTGTTGAAATTCTGCAGGATTTCTGCGGTAGTGCGGCTTGTTGAAATTCTGCAGGATTTCTGCGGTAGTACGGCCTGTTGAAATTCTGCAGGATTTCTGCGGTAGTGCGGCTTGTTGAAATTCTGCAGGATTTCTGCGGTAGTGCGGCTTGTTGAAATTCTGCAGGATTTTTGCGGTAGTACGGCTTGTTGAAATTCTGCTGGATTTCTGCGGTAGTACGGCTTGTTGAAATTCTGCAGGATTTCTGCGGTAGTGTGGCCTGTAAAAATTCTGCAGGATTTCTGCGGTAGTGCGGCTTGTTGAAATTCTGCTGGATTTCCGTGGTAGTGCGGCTTGTTGAAATTCTTCAGATTTCCGCGTAGTACGGCTTGTTGAAATTCTTCAGATTTCCGCGTAGTACGGCTTGTTGAAATTCTTCAGATTTCCGCGTAGTACGGCTTTTTAAAAGTCTGTTGGATTTCCGCGGTAGTATAGTTTATTTAAATTTCCTCTTCTTTTTGTCTTAACAAACAGTCTTATTATAGAAATTGGTAATACATTCATTATAATCATAAAAAGCTAATGGTTACCATGGTAACATTGCTAATTATATAATTAATAATTTTACTGTTATTTGCTCTTATTATTGATCCGTGATTATTGAAAATTATGATTAAACAAATTAAAACAATCAACATCGGTCACGTGATCGTAATAAAGCTTGACGAAATTCATTGATGATAATATATATTTATAAGAAATATGTACATAATGAAATGCCTGAAAAAATATTTTTTTTCTGAGAAGAAACGTAAGATTATATCAATTTCATCTTATTGCCTCTGCAAATGATCAATTGTTTAAATAGTATAAAAAAAGAACAACAACAGTTTTTACAATCATCATATGGTATAAGAGCGAGTTTTCTTATGTATGGTGGCTACTTTGTGTCAAGTCGTATATTCGTACCGCAGGGCGCCGGACTTATTTTCGTGTTTTCATCTAGCGCCCCGAAAATACGACACCATATATTCTTATGTGATTTGATATACACATATGTTATAGCACATTTTGTACACATGTATACCACTATATAATCATAATACTAATACAGCCCTTATGTGATCAAATTCTTGAAATTCTTAAAAAAGTTTCAGTTTACTTCTTATAAATATCTACATTTTATATATTCGTAAATACAAGAAGGATACTAGTGTATAGTCATTTTAGCTTAAGTAAAATCACTGCTTTAATTACAGCCTTGATAAAATGTAGACTATCTTAATTGGACTTGTCCAGTTTCAATCGTGCCAAAACTATTTATCATTTCTTTTTTAGTGAAAAATCTTTGAAAAAACTGACTGAATAGCAAACAGTGCAGACGACACGGCTGATTGCGGTCTCCACTGGTTCAGACACCGCCTGTTGGTCAATTCGACTGTTATATCTTGAAAATGTAAAGAAGTCAGACTGTTGTCTGTTTTAAGTGATATTTTACATATAATTTCGTGTCATATGAAAATGTGCCCATTGTAGAGCAATCCACTTTAAACCTAACAGATTTATATGCAATAACTTTAACTCCAAGGATAAAAGCGTTACCTTAAGCGGCATATTTTGAACAAGTTGGAAAAAATGACAGGGCATACTAATAATTTCAGCATTTGTCATTTCCAAAGCTTTTAAGTGGCACTGCTGCTGTTCTGTATCAGTATTTATTAAAGAAAACTGCTTCGCAATACTTGATTCCAATACTTTTAGTGTTAAGGATTTAAATACAAAAATTCTTCGACTAACGCGGAGTTTTGAGTAAGGCGATTTTGACTTATTGAGAGTCAACTGGTTTGGGGGGACTTTCATTATTACTCATTACTAGACTCAAATTTACTAGCTTTTAAAATTTGGATTTTTTACGATTGCTCTCATGGGGCATTCCTCATCTCCATTCCAGAATTTTAATTTACTTCACTTAATCTCAAAATCTAATTGGTTGCTCACTAGGTGGAGCGTTTCAGCGTCTCGTGGCGTGACGTGTAACGACTCCCACTGCTAATTTCTGCTATCGCTACGAGTTTGAATTCCGCTAGTTGAAGATTCTCAACACAATCTCCCTTTTCTCTCCTAAAATCCAAACATGGGTATTATATTTTGTTCCTTCCTTTTAATTCGCCCATCCCCCAAAAACATGTTGTAAAATGCACTGCTCTGACGTCACAAAAAGACAAATCTGAGCAATCAGGCATGTTGACTCGAAGATCTATATTTAATGAGATATAAGTCTCTGGTCCACTGGAATGAGACTAATTATCAATTATTAACTTTTCATTGCATGACTGATTATAGTTAAATATCATAAATGACCTACATTGAGAATCATTTAAATTAACGGAAATGTTCAAACATGTAAATAATTGACAACATGTTTAAATAAAAAATGAGCCAAACCCATTGCTTAGATTACCTCAAAGATTTTTTATGCTCAGGACGATATAAGATTTTTTTCTAACTCAAGCATCGATAAATTTAATCAAATTAAAAGCAATTAAAAACTGATGCATAATTCAAAACGTGGTTATTTTCAAACTACTTTTTCCAGCTTTATCTGCTCGTAACGGATCTATGACTTTTGTGTTTCGTCGACATGACTGTATTAATACAATAACGAATTTACAATTTTTCATGAACAGGGGAATTGAGGGTACAAGTTGCTGGTTCGGATCTGAATAAAGGAAGTTAGCTCTGAAAAGGGCTGTTCGTAACATTAGTGCCTTTGAAGTCATTTCTTTGTAAAAGGGTCACCTGCACCGAAGTACAGTTGCTCGTCGTACCTGCCAATCGTTAGGGCCACTCGAATCGGCTTTAGGCAGATCATCAGCTAACTTCAAATAAACTCAGATGAGCGCCTTCAACGTAACTCAAAGCTATATAAAGCATGCGATCTTGCCGTCTCAAGAACACGTAATGCCATCTGCCAATATCCCGTTTCGGTAGCTTTGCACAGAATTGGCATTACTTTTGCACAAGTCGGCGTTACTTTTGCACAGACTCGGCGTTGGCGTTACTTTTGCACAGATTCGGCGTTATTTCTAACCAATTCGTGCGTTACTTGATTGCATACTTGATACATGTTGCGATTGTGCATTTTAATCGAAAACATACGGAATTTCAAATGAATCGTAACACATTTACTTTAGTAAATCTAATAACGTTATCAGTCTATAGTAAATCGTTTATAAAAGTAATTTCAAACACTTAATAAGTAATTGCTGCACCGTTCCTGACCAATTTGATTTTGTAAATGTTAACTAATAAACACTAGCCTATACTTAAACTTTCTTATTGTGAATATTACATTTTTTGTCAAAATACAAAAAAAGATTAAAAGATTTTAAGGACAATGAATAAAAGAGATTTGATTGACATGCAGTTGCCAATAATGTTTAAGATCAGGAAACGGGTTTGTTTGCTACATATTTCTAAATATACACTGTAGCTTTAGTGGATAACAAATAAGTGTTTATCACTTTATAGTTATAGTCTGAATGTAGAATTTGAAATTCGAAAAAAATCCACAAAAAACATCGAAATTAGTGCAAAAAGAAACTGATTTTCTACTTTATGTAAAATACATTCGATTAGAAAAGTACATGTTACGATGAAACGTAACATTAGTCTTATATCAGGCCATTTAAAATTTTAAGGTTTCTTTGTATAAAAGACATTCTGTATACATGGATAAGTATATTTCATAGTAATTATTTTTTATTGAATCACCTATACATGTCACTAATCTTTTTATATTTAACTTTACAGAAATCCAGATCATGATGAAAATGTGGAACTCTATGAAATTAACAATTTATTACAGTATCTGTCTGACAATAGTAAATGGAAAAATGTTCTCCCACAAACAAAGGTCACTTCCATTTAATCGAATATCCGCCGGTGTACCGTCCGAAAATTATGAAACTTCAATTACTAATCCGGAGCAATCCGATTATGCCAGTCATTCGGATATATCTGATAAAACGGTTCTGTCGAATGGTGAAGATACAAATGTAAGAAGCAATTTATATGTCCACAGAAATGTTTTCAACACTAATGCGAATCGGCGAAACGACAATTATAAAAAGATTGTAAACTGGCCTAATGGTGGGCTAAATGAACCAATTATGAATAATGGAAAACAAATTGGATTAAAAAGCGGAACATCACTCATTTCGGATAGACAAAGTTCACGAGCGAATCGTCTCCGAAGAAGTGATAATTCTAGATTTTCTGATAAAAAATTATCGCCAAATGACATCATCCGACTTTTATCAGCGACTGAGCAACTAAATGACAGGATGGTGGACATTTCACCTTATGATATTGATAGCAACAGCGCTGAAACTATTCAAAGAGATACCGATGCTGACTTGGACTTTCCGTCGAATGAACCTTCTTTCCATCGGGACAGGAAGGGTTTCCGCTCATCAGTAGTTGATAGGGTCGCACATGGTTTCGGCAAGAGAACATCAACAAGCGGTCATGGCTTGAACCTTGGGCGCCTTCATGATATTTTGAGTCAGTCACAACTTGGCCGAGCCGGGGAACTACTTTCGGTCCAACCAGACGATTCAGAGGAATTAGACTCTTTGCTGGCTCTGTATGAAAACTTGAAAGCGAGGCTTCAGTCTTCACAAAGCAGGTATATTCCATTATCCAATTTATGCTATTACCATTAAAAGCATTTTCACAAAAGCCAATTTACAAAGCTGCTCAACGTTTCAATTAAAGGCCAGATCCATTACATTACAAATACCGCCATTAAACGTTTAGCTGTAAACTTAACTAGAAAATCATAACCTTCTCAAGTTGCAAGATACAATAGAAGAACACTTGTGATATTGATTTAAAATGGGCGTTTTGACACTTGACAAAAGTAAAACAAGAAAAAAAATCAGACAAAAAGAGATAGCGATCGATTTTTTTTATCTTTTTAATTCATTTAGTATGATAACTGTAAGATTAAAAAAGATTGTTCATAAACTAATAATAGAATTTCAGTATTTAAAAAGTATTTAAAAAGTATAACATATCAGCATAAAAGTACAAAATAGAATATTTAAACATAATATACATTTAGATGTTGCTTCATTAAAGTAATTATAATATGTTACATTTTATTAACTAAAATTATTAATTGTATAGAATGGACTTCATGAGATTCTATGCCCAAAAGCTATGCACATACTGGCGTTCGCATATTTGTTTATGAAATAAGTCGCATATAGTTTAATTATCAATTAATTCTATTACTTTATTTGCAACAAATAAATGCGTTTTAATTTTACTTTGCCAAGACTCTTTTGATTTTAATTAAATTTTCCATTCTGATAGAAAAGCTTTTTAAAATATTGATTTCGGCTATCCAGTTTCTCTTATCAATAAATTTACGATATACATAATCGAAGTCTTAACATTTCAACTTTGACGGAAGATCATTGATGAATATGATTTGATGAAACTACTCACGATTTATTAATTATATATTTGCCATTAAGTTTGATAAAATGATTTCCCCATATACTAATTAATAACCTGATTATGTATATCACTTAAAGATTTAAGTTTGAATGTATGACTTTAGTTAAATTGAGATTCAAACCATATGATAATTGAGCCGGGCCATGACGAAACGAACATAGTGCGTTTGCGACCAGCATGGGTCCAGACCAGCCTGCGCATGCGCGCAGTTTGATCAGGATCCATGATGTTAGCTATCAGTTTCTCTACTTGTAATAGGGTTTGTAAGCGAAAAGCATGGATCCTGATCAGACTGCGCGGATGCGCAGGCTGATCTGGATCCATGCTGGTCGCAAACGCACTATGTTGGTTTTGTCATGGCGCGGCTCATATCTATCATGATTTTGTAAAAAAGTCGGTATCTGAATTTCTGTTGATAGGAGTGATTTAAATGAGCCTAGATTCATATTGAAAATTAGTAGATTTTTCACATACTGATGTATAAATAAATTTGGTATAACACCCCAGTTAGCTTCACCAGCATTGTTTAACTTCTTCACTCATGCACTTTTCATTGTCTTTGAAAATATGTTTATATCTAATATGTCTACTGTGTGGTTAATGGTAATGGTTCCTAGGAAGCATTGAACTGGCATAACTTAACGCACAATGTGCTAGGTCCCAAAATGGGGTGTGCCATAAATGGGAAAATACAAATTATAGTAACTATCTAAATTTTCTTGATTTCAATAAATTTCTGCGATAAAAAGTATTTTACCTTGAGACGAGCATAGTATATCTTCTTAGTATAATTGCAGAGTGAATTAGTAATTAAATAATGACTTTCTTTCTCATTTGTGAAACCATACTTTTCTGTTATTTGTTTTGGTTTTTTGTTTTTCACTAAATATTTAATTAACTATAATCAAGCGATGACTATCATCCGTACTTATACTCCATGACGTGTGATCAGCATTTCATGACGGTATATATAGTAATTGAAAATGTTGATTATCAGAAAGATCTACCCCGTAATTTACTTTTTTCTAAAATGTATATGCATTAATAATGAAACTATATACATGTACATCAATTAGTACCATGCACGTGCTCTTCCAGCTGTTAAGTTTGCTAGTCAGCATGGCCGCAAAAATGCCAAATTAAATATTACTTTATGCTTTTAACATACCTTGCGTTACTATCACGTCTATGATTCATCCTTAATGACGTAATTAAATTGGGTAAAGACACAGAGCGTGCGCGCGTGTGCGCGTGCTTGTGGGTTTTGCTTGAAAATGGACTAACTCTTACACTGAGACAGAAAAAACAACTTATTTGTCATTTAAAATAGATAAAAAACCAAGAGAATTCTACTGAGATACCACCATAATGGATTTGTACACACTGCTGCAAGCTGACACAAGACGCTAGTATCGGAGTTTGATAATTTTGCATGCTTCTAAACGTTATGTTGGCTACTATAAATATCCCTAAAATTAAAAGGCTGATACATCGGACAAACATGTGTTATAACTATAATTTTTACATATCCATATTTTTTTCTTCAAATAAGGTATTGTTCAGTATTAAAAAGTTGTCATTTGTAACAGGTTATATGGCTAATATATGAACAGTTGTTTGCAATAAATCCCTTTTATTATTGTCTCAGGTTACTGGACATTTAGGTTCTGATTAGCCGCCGTACAGTGATCAACTTTTGGCTCAAAATTCATATCTTTGGCTAATACTCCGTGAAAATTGCATGGAGGTAAATTATCAACACTAAGTGTTTCAGAATTAAGCCAAGGGCATGACTGGTAACATGTCCGGGGTCCGTACTCGACAGCGAAAGCTGCTTTTTGTGATGGACCCTTATTAAACATAGACTACATACATACATACATGCCTGCCTGCTGCCTGCCTACCTACCTACCTACATAGCTACATACATACATACATACATACATATCGCTACTAGCGAATCGTGTTATATATTTTTTTACTTGCATGTACAACCTGTCAACATTTCTTTAGAACTGTGAACATACACATAGATCTGAGAAATCAAATGCAAACAATTTGCTTTAATATTTGATGCAAAAACGGATATATCTAACAATTTGGAAAATCATTTTACCTTATGTTACACGGATGATTCCAGGCATGCAAAGAAAACTCTTTTTTATTAATTGATTGTCTTCGAGCAAGCGTAAAATAAATATAAAGCAGGTATTAATTCATTAATGACTCGAAAATAATTTGATAATCGTGATATAAAAAAAAATCCAATTAATCAAATAGCATAATCATGGTTCTAAATAAATGATAAACGTATAACATTTATTTGTTGATAAAGCACCTTAGAGATTCTTTAACAACTTCAGGGTAGTCTCACAATCCTCACGAGTCTGTGTGTTTATTGTAACTCCTTACTTGCTCGGTTGATTACTCAAGGGAGGTAATTTTCTTTATCACCAAAGTGGCACACGAGTTATCCCCCTAGCAGTGGAAGCAAATGTTTTGAACTCCTCCAAAGGCTCATGATGTTACAGTCGAATGGTGATGATCATTTAGCATTTCTAAAACAAGCCTTGCGGACTTATTAATTCAAACAATAGGTTTCTGTTATGTGCAGGGTTTAATTTATTAAGACAGAAAATCATCAGACATGGAATAAAGTAGAAGTGCATTTATTCTTTACATATAATATGAAAGATAACATGTAAAGTATTTTTGTGTATTACAATATATTTAAACCCTCCAGTCATTTACCTTTATATTTAATTTGTTTATTAGTCGCTGCAGCTTTATCGTCTTGCAAAAGCTGGCGTAAACGGAAGTGCACGAACTGATAACGTTTACTTTCGGTTTACGCGATAAAAAATAGTTCTCCATTTTGCTTATTTCCATCTAATTTCTGTATAAGACTAAAATTATCAAAATTATTAAAAGAAACACGTATAATATGTAGTCCAATAACGGTAATTCAGAATAATAAAACGGAAGGTAACGTCAACACAGTCTACTGTCTTCATTTACTACCTGTATTAATATGTTTATCAAAGTCACAAGGACTTACATATGACGTATTTAAAGCAAGTTACAATTTTAAATATAGCTTTGAATTTGAGATTAGTACTTCAATAATATGTGAGTAAAAGTGATAACAATCTGTATCGATGGAATAAATGAAATGTTACAATTACGACAGAAACGTCATGTAAATACCATTCACGTGAAAGTTATTGAAAGAAAACTTGCAAATCTTAATTTGTGATAAAAGAATATGTATAATTACCCTTTATTATCAATTTTAAAGTATTTCAATAACAACATAATAAAGGCAGAATAGAAAAGTTGAAAAAACTTTTATATAATTTGTGTTATTTATTTTTTTCGTATAATCACCAAGGTTGGTACATGTTTATTGAAGAGTAGTCGCAGTGATAACACTATTGTACTCCAGCTAAATGATTGGCAATGTCTTTCGGATAAACCTTTCAAATCAGAGGTCCCATTGTAAAAGTGGTTTAATCTTTCACAATAAAAACAGTTATTTTTCTTAGTATGGAATAACTTTTTTTATCCGTTGCACTTTCCTGTAAAAAGTGCAAATCAATAACGTATAGTCTTTTGGAGTGAGTCGCTCTTGGCAACTATAAATAAATGTACATGTATATCACACACGCGAAGAAGTTCGAACCTAGAGATAGGAAATAACTTAGTGCTTTCAGCACTTTGATTAAGAATCACAAAAAATATCTACGGTAGAGTACATCAGCTTGCGTGTGTGAAAGATAAATGCTGTAATTTCAATTATATACTTTTGGATATTTACGATTTTTTATTTATTCTTGAAAACTTAAGAACATATCCATTTAAAAGCCTAGAAAATTCACTAATGTTGTGAGTTGTTACAGGTATGGGGACTTGATGGAAGATGAAGGGACATTTGGTGAAATCTATCGTAAATTACTCAACGAGATACAAGGTGTTTTGTTGTTGTATGCTTAACTTTTTAAGTGTAAACCACATTGGCCGAACACGGTGCTTTGAGTGGTGTAGAAATAGTATAAATGGTCGTTCTAAGAACAAATATTTTATGTCAATTTGTAGTCTATAGATAAACAAAAGTTTTGGTTTATTTTCAACTGATTATAAAGTCATGTTGCACAGTCGTTTTATCTTTATCTTCTTGTTTTTAGTTATCATTTTCACTTCCTATACACTGTTTTAGGTCATTTTTTTTAAAGACAGTGTTCTAATAATTCCTGGATCGATTGCATGAATGTGTTGTACATGATGACTACGTGTCGCATGCGAAAATTAGGTCTCTAGCTAAGGTCAAGGTTACGCTTGTATTCCTACAGACATAATGTGATTTTGAAAGTGTATTGATGTGTCTGATCAACAATCTTGTCATGATTGGATTGATTTTAAGATAACTTGACATTATGATGTCGTGTCGCCCATAGGAGTCAGGTCTCCAGTACAAGGGTCAAGGCCACACTTGTATGTCAAGCGTGATGATTGTTAATAGATTGTCTTCTTTTGTTCATACCTCTTTGTTATTCATGGTTGAACTTTAAAATAAATATGCATAGATAGTATCAAGATGAATTATATGAGGTTTATTTTTAAATGTTTATTAAAGTTTTTTTTTATGTATTCGTGTAACACCCTTTTTCATAGAAGCCACGCGTTTGTTGTAGGTCAAATGTCAAAGTGCCTTAAGTAGGCCCTGCTTAGATGACATTTGTAAATTTCCAACAACAGGTCTTGTCTTGATAGTACTTTTTAAACCAATAAATATTATTAGTACTAGCAGTATTAATCCCAAATGTACTTATTTCCTGATCATTCTTGTCATTTTTTAAACATTTATAAACACATTGTCAGTCATATTCACTTCATATTTACAGAGAACATTTTGTTGCCTGATTTTCCCCATACGCTACGAATTTATAACATAAAATTTACACTTTAGTTCATTATAAATATATTTTTATACTTTGATTTAAATAAGGTGATGGTCGACATTATTGCTATATTTAAAATGCAATATAGGGCAAGCATGTTTTATAAATACTTACTTTGTATTTGTAAGAAAGACAAATCGAAGCATTGCTAATAATATATACGTACTCAAATATGATTTCTATTTTTATATGTATTGCTTTTTCAATCGAATTTTTGTTTTCGATTATTTTCAGGTATCCAGAGCGATTCATCGATGCCTTATCGTGACGAGACATTCGGCGGTAGAAAATATCGATAGTACACGATTTGATCGATATGCAGACAATTAAACAAATTTTAAAGAGAACTGACATCTTCTCTATCTTAAAAAATATATAAAAGACTGCGTGTGTGTATTTAATTTACATAAGTATGTAAAAATATCAATAAATTTTCAATTCTTGTTTTCTAATTTTTGAAAGTTCCCTTGTCTTAATGCGAGTTTGCAAGAAGTCCGTCATAAAGATGACCATGTGACGTCCAAGCCCTTTACTATCGAAGAAAAACTTCATAGCAGCCCTGCAGTTATAACGTATGGACTTAAAAAAGATGCTTAATATGGAAAAGAATCAATAAAGATGCCGTTAATTAAACCATTCCTTCCAGAAACAGTACACACATCACTGGGTAACAAATACTCTAAAAAAGTCTATGCCAGATACTTTTTTTTATTAAAACTGTTAATAAAAACTGTTTAAAAAACACACAAATACCAGTAACTGTAACACAAGATCACACTGTTTATCAAACCACTTAAAATGTATGTCAAATACTGTATATTTAATCGCTTATGTCAAAAACTGTACATTAAACCGCTTATGTCAAATACTGGATATTTAACTACTTATGACAAATACTGGATGTAAACCCAGTAATGACAAATACTGTATATAAAAACCACTTATGTCAAATACTGTATATTAAACTGCTTATGACAAATACTGGATATTAAACTACTGATGTCACTTATGTAAAAAAAAAGTTATATTAAACCGCTTATAACAAATACTGGATATTAAACTACTTATGTCAAATACTGTATATTGAATCGCTTATGTCAAAAACTGTATATTAAACCGCTTATGACAAATACTAGATATTAAACTACTTATGACAAATACTGGATATAAACTCAGTCATGACAAATACTGTAAATAAAACCACTTATGTCAAATACTAATGTCAAATACTGGATAATAAACCGCTTATGTAAAAAAAAATTATATTAAACCGCTTATGACAAATACTGGATATTAAACTACTTATGTCAAATACTGTATATCAAATACCAGTAACTGTAACACAAGATCACACTGTTTATCAAACCACTTAAAATGTATGTCAAATACTGTATATTTAATCGCTTAAGTCAAAAACTGTACATTAAACCGCTTATGTCAAATACTGGATATTAAACTACTTATGACAAATACTGGATATAACCTCAGTCATGACAAATACTGTAAATAAAACCACTGATGTCAAATACTGGATAGAAAAAAAATACTTATGTCAAATACTGGATATAAAACTACTTATGACAAATACTGTATATAAAACCACTTATGTCAAATACTGGATAGAAAAAACTACTTATGTCAAACACTGGATATAAATCTACTTTTGCCAAATACTGTATATAAAACCACTAATGTCAAATACTGGATAGAAAAAACTACTTATGTCAAGTACTGGATATAAATCTACTAATGTAAAATACTGTATATTTAAACACTTATGTCAAAGTACTGGATATAAAACCACTTATGGCATAAAACAACTTGTATATCAAATACTGTATTTAAAACCACTTATGTCAAATATTGCATATAAAACACTTATGTCAAATACTTGATATAATAACACGAACGACAAGTATTGTACATTTAACCACTTATGTCAAATACTGTATATTAAACCGCTTATGTCAAATACTGGATATTAAACTACTTATGCCAAATACTGGATAGAAAAAAATACTTTTGTCAAATACTGTATATAAAACCATTCATGATAAATACTATTTACAAAACCTCTTAAACTGTATGTCAAATACTTGATTAAAAACTACTTATGTCAAATACTGGATATTAAACCGCTTATGACAAATACTGGATATTTAACCACTTATGTCAAATACTGGTTATTAAACCGCTTATGACAAATACTGGATATTAAACCACTTATGTCAAATACTGGATATTAAATCGCTTATGTCAAATACTGGATATTAAACTTCTTATGTCAAATACTGGGTATAAAACCACTTATGACAAATACTGTATACAAAACCACTCATGTCAAAAACTGGATAGAAAAACCACTTAAATCAAATACTGTATATAAAACCACTTATGTCAAATACTGGATAGAAAAAACTACTTTCGTCAAATACTGGATATAAAACTTCTTATGACAAATACTGTATATAAAACCACTTATGTCAAATACTGGATAGAAAAAAAATACTTTTGTCAAATACTGGATATAAAACTTCTTATGACAAATACTGTATATAAAACCAATTATGTCAAATACTGGATAGAAAAACCACTTAAATCAAATACTGTTTATAAAATCACTTGTGTCAAATACTGGATAGAAAAAAATACGTTTGTCAAATACTGGCTATAAAACTACTTATGACAAATACTGTATATAAAATCACTTATGTCAAATACTGCATGCTGCTTTAAAATAATCTATTAAAAGAATAATGGAATAGTTTATTTAAGGCATTTGTACAGTATTTTAATATACATTTGTTTGCTATACATTATTTGTTATAAAAAGTTTTATGTACATGTACATTACTTTTAAAGTGGTTTTATATACAGTATCATACAAAGTCCATTCCATTATTCTTTCAAAAGATTCTTTTTAAGCAGCATGACTTTAGCTTAATGCTATAATTTACACGAAAATTTTGCAAATGTATCACAAATAGTAAAACATTGTGAAGTGAACAAAGAAAGTAATTTCCTTATTGCAAACGGCACTTATAATCCACGTAAATCACCAAACAAGAGGTCAAAATATGCAAAAGTAGCCATTAATGCGTTAGTCAGGCAGTAGAAATTTGGTGAAAAATACTGCAGTCATTCATCGCACATCACATGTAAATTGTTACTTAAATAACGAATATTTTTACTTTTCTTAAAATCTTAGTACGTTTTTCTGTAGTTTGATTTATTTTTAAATATTTTTGGCTCATCTTGAGGCATGCGCGCAGCTTAAAATTGATCCGGAATTTTCACAAAACAATAATCATCCTGGTTAAGAAATACAACAAACATCGCCCTAACACAGTGGAAATAGCGGATCCTACTTACGGTTTTTAGACAAGACACTCTTCTTGTATTGCAGTTTCCAGCATTAGAGCTATGTGCGTTAATGACTGGCCAAGTAAAAATAAAAAAATGTTTCCACCTCAGCGATGTTTGTGTCAATAAAGTTTTGTGACCTTGGTTTAGTTTGTGAAAAATTGTCATATTATTATTCAAAATGTTACTCTATATAAATCTATGGTGTTAAAGGCCACGCTTGTAGACATATAGTTAGCTAAATCAGGATCGGAAAAAAACAAAGATAATGCTCATGAAAACATCATTAAAGTTTTGATCCGTGAAAGTTTGGCTTAAATGATGGAGTGTTTCTCGATATGTTACATTTGGGAAGGAAAAATAAATGAGCCAAACACCTCTCGGAGAAAAAAAGGAAATCACAAACGCATTTTTGAAAGGGCGGTTTGTGAAATTAACTCTGTGATACTCGTATCTTGGTTGAAAGTCTTTAATACTGCAGTAGGAAGTGTTCCTTTATTCAACCAGACACGTTAAACAATACATTGTAGGTAAATATGTTGTATTTATGTTTGAAATTGAATTGAGAAAAAAAAAGATTTTATTTTTACGCATATTTACTCTTCTGAAATCAAGTGTTTTTACAAAATATGCCAGATTTTTAAAGTAGTTCCGAACGTACATAATAACAATGCACGTGTAGCCACAATATACTGTTTATATCCATGATACAGCAGGGAAGGTGAAAATAACACCGAAATGAGCAACAATGTAAGTATGTTAAATTTAAAGAAATGAATTAGTGCAAACGGCTCACCATATGGAGAAAGGTTAATTAGTGAATATTTGGTTGTAATCCTTTGAGTTGTCATAGAAGTTAAGAACAGAAGTTTTCCTTTATAGTACATACAAATTTTCAAAACAAAAAAGCAAACAAAAGGCCATACAATTCTATTCTGACAAAAATGTTCAAGTCACCAAGATGTGATAGGGCACTAGGTGACAATCCGAGCATTCCACTTTTTTTAATTTTGTTGTTTTGGACGTCAATACTAAGGAAAATCTTAAGTGCGTTTCACAAAACTTTCGAAAGTTAGTTCTTTAACATAAGTTTGAATAGTTCTTGACTCTCCATTTAGAGGTTTAAACAACTTTTCAATAAAGAAGGCGTTGCGGGAATATCTGCCAAAACATACAAGTGTCGTCTGTCAAAATGGAAGTGTGAGCCAAAGGTTCTAGAAAGCTGAACTGGGCCTCTTCAGAAGTCAATGACACCACAAAATTCCTACCTGGAATTTCGTGGTGTCATTGACAGTCGACTTGATTTCTCGCAAAAGAACAAATGTGTCGGGAGATTCAAGAATGGTAGGCCTATGGTATATCGATGAAAACACATTATTTTGTAGACCTATGACCACGGCATGTAACTATTGTTGTTTTATTTTCGTAGATGTAGATGCATGCTTTATCCGTATGAGTACCGCATTTTTTTGTTTAAATATTTTGTTTGTCAATCATGGTTAGTAAAACGTTACTCCTGATTGATAATTGACTGGCACGTTACCAGTACATCATGAACTGGTTCCAACACTGATAGTGCTCCAACCCACAATCTCAGGGTCTCGGTTAAGAACCACAATTTCTTTCCCATTATACCAGTAAACTTCCTTTTACAACTTACATGAGGTTACATATGAAAACAAACAACTTTATTAGAATTTAGTTTTACTTTAAATCAAGACATAAAATAATAGTATTTAAACAAATTTTCTCAAAGTAATTTCTATTCACTAACATTTACAATTTATCAGAAAACAAAATTGCATATAAAAACCAAAAAGAAATAATTTCCTTTTTTTATTCACATAAAAGCTATACTTATTTTGCAGTGAAATTAATTATTACATCTCAACCAAAATCCTCAGCAGCATTTAAAACAGCAATAAAAAAAACTTGCAACACTAACTTAGATATTTATATACATCGTGTTATAAAAAAATTGCACAAAATTTCAAAAGCTGTGAGTTCAGACACCATACTTGACTATTTATTTCCTGTTCTTAAAGGAACTCCACTGAGGTTTTTTTATGTGACGGGACTGGAGATTAATGTTCCATTTGATTTAGGTCTAGACTAATAACTTGTGTGCAAAATTTCTAATCATTCACTCACTCTGTTTTTCCAAAGTAACTATTTTCATTGTGAAAATGACCCAAAATTGAAAGGCGTTGCAACGCTTTTCACTCAAATCGGTTAAGAATAGGACAAAAATATCTTAAATTTATTTCCAAGTGTTTTTCTAAATTATCTTAAGCATATTGTTTTGTTTAAAGTACCCCAGTTCAAAATTCAATGTTATTGGCGAATTTGACCTCAGTGGAGTTCCTTTAAACTTTAATGAAAATACAGGAATTGTCAAGGTTCACAAATGGATGTAATCCATGCAATATTCATAATGGGTCATTTTCAGTGACCAACAATTATGAACACAGGTGACATTTATTATGGTTTTTCAAGTGAATACCTGAAGGGGTTTTACAGAAAAGAAATTGCATTAATTTGAAACCTTTTGAAAAAAGTTAAACCAATGTTTGCATATTAGACATATACAAGATATTATTAGATTTTACCACCTAAATTGCCGAGTTTTACAAGAGAACCATTATGGCTCCATATCACTCACCTGAGAAAAGTCAAAATATTCAGTGTAAAAACCAAGTTCATTTGGTCACATTGGGACAGGGTCATAATTCAGACTTTATAAGAGTTTTACTTCAGGCAAAGCTACATGTCAAATATCTTTGCTCTAGGTTGTGTAGTTTCAAGACTTTTGAGTTTATCTGTTCTAAACTAGATGTAAACAAATTGACTTAGTATGATACAAAAATACAATATTCAATTTATTTTTGAGTATATTTCTTTGTTATCTTATTCGTATCTTTCTGTAATAAGTGCCCGAGCTGATCTGTGTAGGAAATTCTAATTTAAAGAAATTCTAATTTTAAGTTTTTGGGCTTTTGAACATCTGTGGAGTTCCTTTAAAGAGAGAGTTGCACAATACAAATGGAATATTTAATTCCTTGTAAAAAATACTTTCTTTCCAATTGATCAAGCTTTTTGGTTTTGCACTGGAATCAAAAGAACAATAATATACAATTTACAAGTGATTTATATTAACATTTATCTCAATACTAGTATGTCATTCATGCGTGTGTAATAATCCACTCAAACTAACTTCCAATGCATTATCACTCAATACAAAATTACTATTTTTCCACAATTCATTACACACAAGAGATATGTAAGCAAAGAGATGACAAACTTAAGTTCAAAAATATCTTTAAAGGGGCTGTAACTCATCAAGACCTAATAGAAAGACATTAAGAGTTATTTTTCCTTTGTCATTTTTACAGTTTTATTGTGTTATAACAAAATAAACACTTTCAAGTAAGGGATATGGGACAAAACATCAATCCAGTAGTTTACATCATTACATACACAAGGGAAGACAAAATTGCACATATTAAGCATTTGATAGTAGCCAATACAACATATACTTGGTACTGATTATGAAACTAACTTTCACTGGTTTTGCGACCAGCATGGATCCGGATCAACCTGCGCATCCGCGCAGTCTGATCAGGATCCATGCTGTTCGCTTATCAACTCTATTACAAGTAGAGAAACTGACATCGAACAGTATGGATCCTGATCAGACTGCGCGGATGCGCAGGCTGGTCTGGATCCATGCTGGTCGCAAACCCATTATGTTGGTTTTGTCATGACATGGCTCATATGAAGTTCATAACAACAGGCAACTAATTAAATTGACATTATGCCATTGCAAGGGCATTTCGTGAGTGAACAAAGAAAGTTTTTTATTCTGCCATAATAGACATTATCCGAAATTGGGTTTTTTCCAAGCATCAGTATGTACAAACAAACTTCTACAGTAACAGCTTTGGAAAAAAAAGCCAAACAGTTTGACTAATCTATTGTGATGGGTACTGCTTTAATGGTAAAAGTTTGTTTGTACCTATGGATTAGCTGGGAAAAACCCGCATTTGCCGAGTTCTGGACTATTCCTTTCAATTTTATAGTTTACTTTCTGGAAATACTTCCGACATATGAAAAATAAAACTTAATATTTTTCACTCACATCAAGATATATAGAGCATTATTTTTTTGTATAAATAAATCTTTTTAATTTTTTTTCATACACCAAATTTTAACAAGATGAAATTAATGGAAATATGTATCAATGTTTTAATGTGTAGCAATATACAATTAACCGTGTATAGCTGATATAGGACCAGTGCTATTAGATTACATACTTTAAAGCTGCATGTACCTAAATGAGCACATTTTAATAAAATCAAACTTGAGAAAAATATACAAGGATTTTAAAACAACTCATGTTCGATTAATGACCGATTTTGCTGTATTTATCACCATTTTTCTAAATTCTACTGAGTTTCTACTGCAAAAGGGGCTATTTTTGCATATTTTGCCCTCCATTTGGTAATTTACAATGTGTGAATTAGAAGAAAATCTACTTTCTTTGTTCATTTCACAATATTTTACTTTTTTATACACAAGGCACAAGTCAAAAGTACCAGCTTGATATTTTCAAATTATATAAGCTTTAACGATGACTTGGTGAAGCATTGAATTGTTGAATTTTTTGCATAAAATTATCATAAACTTTCCATTTTTCTAAAACTGATGTAAGCTATCATTTAAAAAGCTATGACTTGTTAAAATGGATAGGTCTTTATATTACAATAAAAAAACTAGCATAGGGAACAACACTTAGTTAACAGTCTCAACAGCATCTTCAAAACTGTCCACACTTTCATCAGCATTTTCTTCATTTGTTGCAGCAACATTCACTTCTTTGTTCTCTTCAGTCACAGAACCAGTTTCTTCATTGCTTTCAGTAACTTTCATTGCACTTGCATCCGCATGGGCTACATCTACCTCTGGTTTGTTTTCCGATTCAGTCAGTACAGTTTCCGGTTCACCAGAAGTATCTGCCTCTGGTATTACCGTGGACACAGATAATGTTGGTGTTAACACATCTGTCTTTACTACAAATGTTGAACTTCTGTTTTCGTCCTCTTCATTAGTTTGCGTACTTGATTTTTCTAAATTATTCGTATTTTCATTATCTTGTTCTATAGATTCTGCACTAGGTTCTTCTTTTGTAACAGTCTGTTCCCCGGTATTAGTATCCTCTTCAATTTCTTTTACACTTTCACTTATATTGTCTCTACCAGGATTTTCACTACTCACAACTTCTTCACTTACATCTGGTTCTGGAAGACCAGGGTCACCTGACTCAGCACTATTTTGTTCAGTTTCATAACTTTCTGTCCTAACCTTTTCAGAATCAGTATCATCAGTCCTTTCTTCAGATTTAATTTCAGATAACCTAGTTTCCATTTCCAAAGTGTTAGATTTTTCTTCATTATCTACTTCTTGTCCAATATCTGTATGATCTGGCTCTTGAAATTCATCTTGGGTTGATTCAGTTTTAATTTCTTGTACAGGTGCTTCAGTTGTGGTGAATTCTTCTTCGTAATCGTCCAGATTATCATTGTCTACTTCTCCTGACTCATCTCTAAGTTCTTCTTGATATGGGTCTTCACTTTCATCCCCTTCCAAATCTTTATGTTCTGATGATTTTTTCACTTCCTTAAATTTAAAAGTTTATTTTTTAACTTATCTAATATGTCAAATAATAAAGAAATTTAAATTAAAAAAAAATATATCATTAAGAAAGATATCTCTGCTCCCCTCTTTCAATCCAATGTCAGTTTTGGTAGGGTAGGAAGGTAGATAAATATTGATCATAAGTTACGGTCAGAGACCACTTGATTTTTTGACAACCTGATTTTTGAAGAAGCTGTTCCATAGACCACTTAATTTTTCAGGCAAAATGTATCTTTTTTCAATTAAAATGAGAAATCTCTTCAATTTGATACATATGGTGTGTAATATTTTTAAAATCGTTCTGGAAACATTAAAATAATAATTATCAAGAAGATGTGATTTATAAAAATATATATATGATTCATCAGCGAGAGACAAATGACCACTAGTCTTTATATCCAAAATGAGCTGTAATGCCATTTCATCATGACTAAATTGTTCTCTATTCAGTAAGTACCAATTTTTAATTATTCCTAACATATCATGGACTTTTTTACCAAAATTGAAAGATAAACATGTCTACCGTTTAACATATTTTGTATAGTAAGGATTAATATTGCTTTTTTGTTGGGTTTAATGTCACACCAACACAATATAGGTCATTTGGCGACTTTCCAGCTTTACTGGTGAAGGACGACCCCAGGTGCCCATCTGTACATCATTTCAGTCATCAAAAGGCATCCTATGTAGAAGCACTGTCATTTCGTAAACTAGCTGAATAGCTTTCTCACATGAAGTATCCAATGATATTGCTTTTTGTAAGGGATCTTGGTTGTCTATATCTTAAATGTTTTGTTTTTGTTGTTTTTGATTGGGTTATACGTCACACCAACATAGTATAGGTCATATGGTGAGTAGAGCCATCGACGTTTCGTACGCTAGCTCGATAGCTTCCTCACATGAAAGAATTCAAAGTCCCTGTCAGGATTCGAAGAACCCACAGCGGTGAGGGGCAAGTGGTTTGAAGTCAACAACCTTAACCACTCGACCTCAGAAGCCCCATCTTAAATGGTGGAACAAACAATCTCTGGTTAGAGAAGCAGACTTATTCAGCATTAAGCTTCCTTTCGTCATAATACTTACCTCTGGATTGACAATTGGCAATGGAACTTTTGGTCTTCGAACTTGAACCCGGTTTAGTTTGGCTAGCTGCATTTCAGGAGAATAATAAGTGGTACCAGCGCTTGCTGACCCTCCCCCAGAAGTCTGGGAGTAGTAAGTTGTCCCTCCTCGAACTGTCTCGCCAGGATTGTGTGTCTAATAACAAAAACACAATAAAATAAATCAAATTTTTACACTCTTCACACCATTCCCCTTTCAAACAAATAGGACAAACAAGTGCATTATTACAAGATATATGCACAGCATACAAAAAGGAATGCTTATGTGTCATATGACATCAGAAATGATGTCACTAAACCAAATGATGTTAGGAAAATTTCTTTTTTGCTCGCTCGATGTAGTTCAACATATTTTTTTTTAACATCTCTTTATATTAACATGTTATAATGGAAATAGATAATAATTTTCTTGCATTATAGTATCATAATGCACAGTTTATCGTTCAAATGCCTTGTAATTCATCACCAAGGCCTATTGGCCTTCGTCATTGTATTCCTACACATTTGAACTTGAGCTGTGCATTTTAATACAACAATGCACTCAAAATCAACATTTTGTTTTACAATATGTGTAACTAAATATTTAAAGAACTATCAAAGCTTTTTTGGTACAGTGAATTGTCCGAAAACCCCTTACGCCAAATGTTTTTTGTTAGGAACATGTTCAAATTTCATGACACTTTACCTGTGGTGAGGCTGGAGGGAACTGAGGTACAGGAACCTGATATGCTGGGGGTGGTGCGGCATAAACTATGCCTGCAGGACTTATCAACGGTGCTGCTATCACGGACACAGCCGGCATGGCACTGGTTGGCAGGGTACCCGGTGGAAATACCGGTGGTGGTGCAACAATACCCTGGGGATTTGGACCTGCAGGTGGTGGTGGTCTTGGAGGTCTGACCTGTGGGGGTGGTACTTGGCCAGTGACTGGTATCATATTCTGGGGTGGAGGGCCACGAGGTATGACGAGCGTCGGGCTACCAACTGTCTGTTGTTGAGGTGGTGCTGAAATTAAAGTAGTTAAAATGTGAAATTCAAATACAACAATTCAATGCTAAAAGAATTTCTTCTAACAATCTATCTACAAATGTGTATTGTTATATAACATCATATCGTACACATACAGATCGAATAAAAAACATAACAGTTTAAACTTCTCTCTATCAATCTATAATGCAAGGCAGAGGTACTGTTCTTTGCACTGCACTTCTACTCAATGAGTTCTATCTACTTGACTTTGTTTCTTGTTGAAACTTTTTGTTGTTTTGGAGATACATTCAGACAAGAAATGCAGACAGACGGACAAAGCGGTGACTATATGCTCACCCTTTGGGAAGCATAAAAATTTTAAGTAAAAAACAGGCATAACTCCAAAAATATAGCTTTCAGAATTATGTTGATTGTCTTACAACTGCCTCTTGGTATGATAAGCAAGTATTTCTTTCATATAAGTTTCTCTAAAATTGTTTGAGTAATGGGCTATATTGAAAGTTTTTAACACAATGACAACTAAGCTACTGCTGCCAATCATCATAAAAGCCTGATTTTTTCTTCAAAACAGACGAGCTCAAAATAATACACAGAAAGCTTATTACTCTTCAAGATTCCCCCCCCCCCCCCCCCCCCCCCCCCCCCCCCGCTTTGATTGGATATTGATCCGCTGAAAGAAATTGATACTACTGAGTCAGAAAGGTAATTATACATATTAAATTTCCCCTTTCTGTACCCTACATTGTAAACATGCTCCGTGACAAGAGGTATCCTACAGGGAATCTTGTTTCAACATTTAAAACAGCAATGCTTTATTCTAAAACCATCTTATTTAACTCAATACAGGGTTGGAGCAGTACCTCTAGACGCTTGCAGAAATCATGATCACAAAATAGTCAATTTCCCCCCCCCCCCCCCCCAAGGCAAGATTTTAGCATTTTATCATTCAAGCGCCTTGTCTGGTATATACCAGAATACGGTATATAGTGTGGTGCTCCAATCCTTTTTTTAGTCTCACTCAAAACTGTCTTACTTAGCATGGGAAGGGTAGTCAAATTATCATTTTGGTTGTGGAGAGATATATGTGGATATATCACCTGTCAAGACAGAATATTGGCAGGTAATATATCCACATATATCACTCCAAAACCAAAAAAACATATAATATAACAAAGAATATCCCACTCACCAGTCATTGGAGGAACTATATTAGGTCTTACTATAACCGATTGTTGAATACTTCCCGCTGGTTTGGGTGGACTGAAGTCTGAAATTCAAATATCTGATTACACAAAGTACACTTTCATAGCAGTTTTCCATGGCACATTCTTTTTTGCATATTTTCAAAACGTCTTCTTTTTTTAACTAGTAGATGAAAATAGTAAAACAATATTAATTTACATTCTGAATTGAGCACCCCAATAAGTATAGGCCTAACATAGGCATAATTCAGCAGAATGTTGCTGAAAACATTACAAAAATAATGATTGTAAGGGACTGTAAAGCACAAAATCTTAAGTATGTTCATCTTTTGTTCTGTTTCAGAATGTTTAAGTTAACAACAACTGTCAATCTTTACCATATGTATACCTCTATCTGCTATTTCAGGCACTAGAGTAAATCCACTAACATTTCATAAGTTTGATAGATAACTTCCAGACATGAAAGAGTCTAAACCCATAAGCTGAATTCAAAACGACATTAGTTACGGGGAACTAATTCTATATAAGCAACCTTTAATTCTCAGCTCAACTGAGAGTTTGATATAATATTGTACAATTTTGAAGTATTTAAGACCCAACTTGACAGCAGCAAGGGGGAACTTCTGCCCCCCCTTAAAAATAACAGCAAGGGGGACTTCTGCCAGTCTTTAAAATAACAGCAAGGAGGACTTCTGCCACCCTTCAAAATAACAGCAAGGAGGACTTCTGCCAGTCTTTAAAATAACAGCAAGGAGGACTTCTGCCACCCTTCAAAATAACAGCAAGGAGGACTTCTGCAACCCTTAAGAATAACAGCAAGGGGACTTCAGCCATCCTTAAGAATAAGGGCAAGGGGGAACTCTGCCACCCTCAAAAATAACAGCAAGGAGGACTTCTGCAACCCTTAAAAATAACAGCAAGGGGGACTTCTGCCAGTCTTTAAAATAACAGCAAGGAGGACTTCTGCCACCCTTCAAAATAACAGCAAGGGGGACTTCTGCCAGTCTTTAAAATAACAGCAAGGAGGACTTCTGCCACCCTTCAAAATAACAGCAAGGAGGACTTCTGCAACCCTTAAGAATAACAGCAAGGGGACTTCAGCCATCCTTAAGAATAAGGGCAAGGGGGAACTCTGCCACCCTCAAAAATAACAGCAAGGAGGACTTCTGCAACCCTTAAGAATAACAGCAAGGGGACTTCAGCCATCCTTAAGAATAACAGCAAGGGAGAGTTCTGCCATCCTTAAGAATAACAGCAGGGGGGAGTTCTGCCATCCTTAAGAATAACAGCAAGGATGACTTCTGCCACTCTTAAGAATAACAGCAAAGGGGGAACTCTGCAACCATTAAGAACTGATCAAGATTTTTTCAACTCACTTGGTTGAAACTGCTGCTGTAAAGGTGCTGTGACAATCTGCTGTGGTGGTTGTGAAATCTGGGGCTCTGAAAATACCGGTCCTTCTGGTGCAGCTCTTTGTCTCTGTGACGAGTAACGCTTGTTTGATCTCCCTTGACCGCCATCCTGTTTATCTACCATGGGTTGTTGTTGTTGTTTTTGTCGTTTACGCTCTTGCTGTTGTTGTTGCTGCTGCAGACGAGGTGGCAATGTAGGCTGATGTTTAGAACTTGGAGGACCTACAAAAGATAAAAAGTTTTTTCGTACTTCTTAATCTTTTATCTGTCTATATATAGGAACACCCTCAAATTTTCAAGTATCACAGATGAAAATAAAGTGAAGGGTGATTTAAAATAATTTATCAATCAATTCATTCCCAGCATAAATTTTGAAGAATCTTTAAGAACTAAGGACAGGAAAGATCTAAGAGAAACCACACGTCACCACCTAGTAGGTTAAGACGATTTATTAAAGTTAACTGGTTTTGATCATAACAATGATCTTCATCAGGACAGAGTCTTAAAGAAATAAGTAAAACTCTAATACAGTTATTTCCTTCTAACTTTTACATTACTTCACTACAAGAAAAGAGATAAGCCTTTTATTTAATATAGAATAAGGTACATAGAAATTTAATAGTTTTAATTAAAATTTAATCATTTTAACTGGCTTTGATAACAGGGAAATATATGGACTAATTTACCATGAGAAGGGCCTGCATCTCGCCTATCTTCTACAGAACTTTGCTGCACATAATCCTGAAAGAAAAGTTTGTTTTAAGCTATTATAGATTCACAATATTCAAGGTGGAATTTATTTTAAGGAAAACAAATTATGTTAATAAATTGTCACCTCAGTGCAATAACAACTAGACCTATCACTGAAGGTGATTAATACCCCCACCAGCAACTTTTTGAAAAATAAGTAGTCTGAAGAAAAATTTCAACACAAACTATCAACTGTGTACAAAGAAATATTTCAACTAATTGTAATCCAAACTGGGGTCTCCAAATAAGCTTGCTTTCCACAAAGTTTGATTACAATATCTCATTCCTAACTCTAGTTATTGTCTGGAAACCATTTTTCTATTTTTAGTAATGGTGACCTTGACCCCAGGGGGTCCAAATGCAATACCAACTGGGGTCTTCATATAAGCTTGCTATACACCAAGTTTGATTACAATATCTCATTCCTAACTCTAGTTATTGTCCGGAAACCATTTTTCTATTTTTAGTAATGGTGACCTTGACCCCAGGGGGTCCAAATGCAATACCAACCTGGGGTCTTCATATAAGCTTGCTATACACCAAGTTTGATTACAATATCTCATTCCTAACTCTAGTTATTGTCCGGAAACCATTTTTCTATTTTTATTAACCATGACCTTGACCTTGACCCCAGGGGGCCTAAATGCAATACCAACCCAGGTCTTCATATAAGCTTGTTATACGCAAAGTTTGATAACAATATCTCATTCCTAACTCTAGTTATTGTCCGGAAACCATTTTTCTATTTTTAGTAACGGTGACCTTGACCTTGACCCCAGGGGGTCCAAATGCAATACCAACCGGAGTTTCCACATAAGGTTGCTATATACCAAGTTTGATTACAATACCTCATTCCAAACTGTAGTTATCGTCCGGAAACCATGATGTGGACCGACCGACGGACAGACGGACGGACGGACGGACCGACCAACCGACCGACAAGCTGACTCCTATACACCCCCCCTAAACTTCGTTTGTGGGGGTATAATTAAACTTCTATAAAATCATAGGAGTTAACCCATTATTGCACCAAGGTGACGATATGTTTATCAAACATATCCTATAAACAAAACTGCACAAGATGTTAAAACTAAATCAAAAATATTTTTTTAACCCATTCTTATTAATAAAGATATTTGAGGTACTGATTCTAGACATTCATCACAGAAGACATTCATAATTTGTCTCACCATCTTTAAAAGATGCTACCGTCTGACGTTATTTCAGGATAAAGTGTTGGTTAAGAATAAATGATCTAAGGATCATGGCTGCATGGTTCAAACCCCGTCCAGGACAAGCCACTCTTTCCTTGAGCAAGAAACTTTACACTCATTGCTTAGTACTGGTTGGTTCCAGGAACTGATTCGAGAGCTTATAGGTTCCAACACAATCAAACTTAAATGAATTTGTATAAACTATTTCAGGTTAATGACATCATATCCATCATATTAAAAATGTCTAAAGCCAAGATAAAATCCACAAGCAATATCAAGATACCCTTACAATGATCTAAATGTAGTGTAGACAATATACTTGACAAATATACTTGATTTCGTGGCAAACGATCAAAATGTGTGACCCTGACATTTTAGGTAGTGACAATCGTCTTGGACAGATGAACAGTACGATTTTAATATGCTACCCTTTTGAGGGCATGAAAAATCTCTAAGTACCGGTATGTTTAAATATGTCTAAAGCGAAAATGAATATGATGATATTACATGAAAATATTGGGTTAACTGTTACAATGCGACTTGTAGAAAAATCCATGCAAGCTAAATACAAGTTACAATATCATGATACTGTTAAACAATGATCTACATGTAGTATATGAAAAATAACCGTACCTGCGATCGAGGCAGACGAGGCCGATCCTTATTAAATGACCTTCTTTCACCAGTAACAGTAACATTAATATCTTGTACCGTCCCTCCTTTAGCAGGCGCAGAATATTCCGGTTCCTCCATTTCACCGAGTTTTTCATCATCTGTGACCGAGAGGGTGTAGTATGACTTAGGTGTTGGTTTTTCAAATGACCTCGGTGCCGGTCTTTCCGTAACATCGCTGCCTCTAAACCTGGTGTTTTCTTGCTGAGGTGAATCCGGTTCGTTCCACGACTGTCTGTTACTACCCTGTCTCCTGAACTGGTTTTCAGAATCCCGTCCACCGCTATTTTGACGTTCGTAATTTTGCCCATCTCTTCCCCCACTATACTGCCTGTCATATCTTGCATGGTCACGATTTGATCGGCCACTTTGTTGGTCAACATTGTCTCGATTACCAATGTCTCGCCTATTTTCTCTCCTGTTATCTTTGTAGCCCCCTCTTCCCCTCCCCCTAAAACCACCCCTACTTTCTGAACGATCTTGAAAGTCCTTACCCCCTCTCCCTTGGGAACTTTCATTATACTGCCCCTTATTTCCATAATTATCTTTGTCCCTATTTCCATAATTTTCTCTATCTCTATTTCCATAATTATCCCTATTTTCATAATTTTCTCTGTCCCTATTTCCATAATTATCTTTGTCCCTATTTCCATAATTTTGTCTATCCCTATTTCCATAATTTTGTCTATCCCTATTTCCATAATTTTCTCTGTCCCTATTTCTGTAATTGTCCCTATCCCTATTCCCGTAATTGTCCCTATCCCTATTTCCATAATTGTCCCTATTTCCATAGTTTTCGTTGTCAATATTTCCGTAACCCTCTCGTTTTCCATAGTTATCCCTGTTTCTATAGTCACCATCCCTGGAATCTCTCCCTCTGTCCGAAAAACCTTTATTCCTAGGAGATCTGTCCTCCTTTAAATCAGAGTACCCTCTTCTAGGGGCGCCACCTACAATAAATATGTGTACCAGATTAAATTTTCACATCTAAAAAAGCATTATGACCAATGGAAACAGGATGGCGGTCAAGGTCGATACAACAATGGTTCCACCCACTTCATTTACAAATTACAAGTCTAATTATTTTTGTGATGGAAAAATATCAATAACCAAACTCTTAAGTCAAAGTTATGTTCCATTGCCTACAAGTATAGGTGTAGGCCATTGTACAAGCATTTAAACTAAAGGTTGAAAAGCAACATTTAAATCGTTTCATGATTAAGAGGGTGGGGGGGGGGGGAATACGAAACTTGACAAAAGAGTTCCACATTTTCCTTAACAGTTAATATCTCAAAAAGCAGAAAGGTGCTTAAAGGTGATCAAAATTCCCTATCCTCAAATTCCAGTTTGTCTACACAATATTTATGTAACAACCTAAGTTTTTAACAGCAACATTTCTATATAGAAATTTTGAATGACAAAACTATTTAAAGCAGCATGCCTCCAGATTCATGCTTATTGTCAAGAAAATTTTGAAAATGTATTTAAAAGTATAATATTGTGAAATAACCAAAAGGAAAAACATATTACCAGTGATGCTTGCAATCCATGTAAATTACCAAAAAGAGGTCAAAATATGCAAAAATAGCACTTATTGCAGTAGAAATTTAGTTATAAAAACTGAAAAATCAATCATTTACTTCACATAACATTTACTGCACATAACATGGAAAATATTATTTGAATCTTGAATTCCTTTACTTTTCCTAATATCTTAGTACATTTTTCTCAAGTTTGACTTTTAGAAACAAATATTTTGCTCATCTGGAGGCATGTAGCTTTAAAACATTCTTTAAATGACTGACCTTCTGAGCGTCTTTGCCCTCTCCTCCCTCGGCCACCCCTATTGTGTGTTGTATCAGAGCTAGACTGACGGGGAACTCTATCATCGTACGTCTCTTCAATGTACTGGTCATTGTTAGACCGATAGTTAGGACCTCCTTTATCGTCGTCTGGTAGAAAATCTTGAAACTGAGGCTTACGATCCCTCCGCCCGCCACCACCACCACGCCTGTAAAGTACCAGACAGGTACAAGAAAACTTTGAATTATTCCTGTTTCAAATAAGTATTAGTCATTCAAACAATTTAAATATTCAAATTTGAAAATAAATCAGTTTTTAATCCTTCTTGGCTTTTTAATACAGATAGTAAGATTATAATTCAAGTGTCTATAAATACTATTGAAGCCCCTTTCAAATTCACCTTGATCCCCTTCTATACTAACGTTGAAGCCTTTAACAAACCCACCTTGATCATCTTCCAATCTCACCTAGACCAACTAGACATGCATAGACTCCAGTTGTTTGAACCTATTTAGTTGCCTCTTATGATTGCACAGGAATAAACGGTGGCTGATATACTTATGCCTCAATAATTAAAGGCAACGCTTAAGCTACAAAAGGCTTAACTCACCTTGACCCTCTTCAAATCTCACCTTAACACTCTTCCAAATTCACCTTGATCCACTTCACAAACTCTTGACCCCCTTCACAAACTCACCATGACCATTTTCCAAACTCACCTTGATCCACTTCGCAAACTCACCTTGGCCTCCTTCACAAATTCACCTTGACCCCCTTCATAAACTCACCTTGACCCTTTTTTAAACTCATCTTGACCCTTTTTCAAATTCACCTTGACCCAATTTTAGACTCACCTTGACCCTCTTCCAAACATTTTCGGAGGTTCATCAGGAGGCTGGTCATGTTGTGTGATGTCATAGCCATACATGGCAATCAGTTCTTGTCTAGACTTTGGCTTTTGATCAAACTGGTCAAATTTATCATGTGCCCATTTAGAGTCATCCTTCCACAGCTTACCTTTACCTCTGAAATGTCAAGGTCAAATATTTAAAACTTTTGAAACTTGTTTCAATTAATTGAGGTCCAAAAGCCTTAAAGTAGCATCCCTCCAGATTTATTCTAATTTTCATGAACATTTTAAAAATGTATCTAAAAAATAAAATATTGCAAAGTGAACAAAGAAAGTAATTTACATACATGTATTGCAAATGGCACTTACAGTCCACGTAAATTACCAACAAGAGCACCGCCAGGCGGAGCATTATATGCCCGAAAGTGTTTTTTTTTTAGTAAAGATGAAGCATTTGTAAGACATGGAACTAAAATAAAGTATTACCTCCTTCAAATAACAATCCTCCTTTGAAGTTTCAATATTGTGGTCCAAATGGAACTTTAAGTTATGTCCCAGAAACTGTTTTCAATTCTAAGGTAAAAGTGACCTTGACCTTTGACCTTGTGACCCCAAAATCATTAGGGGTCTTTTACCCAATATGGACAATCATACTATGAAGTTTAAACACAGTAGGCCAAATGATACTTCAGTTATATTCCGAAAACTGTTTTCAGTTTTAAGGTAATAGTGACCTTGACCTTGTGACCCCAAAATCAATAGGGGTCTTCTACCCAATATGGACAATCATCCTATGAAGTTTGAATATTGTGGGCTAAATGGAACTAAAGTTATGCTCAAGAAACTGTTTTCAATTTCTAAGTAATAGTGACCTTGACCTTTGACCTTGTGACCCCAAAATCAATAGGGGTCTTTTACCCAATATGGACAATCATCCTATGAAGTTTGAACACTGTGGGCCAAATAGAACTTAAGTTATGCTCCGGAAACTGTTTTCAGTTCTAAGGTAAAAGTGACCTTGACCTTTGACCTTGTGACCCCAAAATCAATAGGGGTCTTCTACCCAATATCGTCAATCATCCTATGAAGTTTGAACACTGTGTGCCAAATGGAACTTAAGTTATTCTCCGGAAACTGTTTTCAGTTTTAAGGTCATAGTGACCTTGACCTTTGACCTGTGACCCCAAAATCTAAAGGGGTCTTCTACCAAATATGGACAATCATCCTATGAAGTTTGAACACAGTAGGACAAATGGAACTTAAGTTTTGCTCCGGAAACTGTTTTCAGTTTTAAGGTCATAGTGACCTTGACCTTTGACCTTGTGACCCCAAAATCAATAGGGGTCTTCTACCAAATATGGACAATCATCCTAAGAAGTTTGAACACTGTGGGCCAAATGGAACTTAAGTTATGCTCCGGAAACTGTTTTCAGTTTTAAGGTCATAGTGACCTTGACCTTTGACCTTATGACCCCAAAATCAATAGGGGTCTTCTACCCAATATGGACAATCATCATATGAAGTTTGAATATTGTGGGCCAAATGGAACTTAAGTTATGCTCCGGAAACCAAATTGCTAACGTTTTCAGTTTTAAGGTCATAGTGACCTTGACCGTTGACCTTATGACCCCAAAATCAATAGGGGTCTTCTACCCAATATGGACCATCATCCTATGAAGTTTGAATATTGTGGGCCAAATGGAACTTAAGTTATGCTCTGGAAACCAAATTGCTAACGGACGGACGGACAGACGGACGGACGGACGGACGGACGGACGGACGCCAGGGGGTTTAACATAATATGTCCGAAATTCTTTCGGGCATATAAAATGGTGTCGAAATATGTAAAAAATAGCCCTAACTGCGTTAGTAACCAAGTAGAAATATGGTGATAAATACCGTAATCGCACATAAGATATAAATTATTACTTGAATCTTGAATCTATTTACTTTTCTTACAATGTTAGTTCATTTTCTCAAAGTTTTATTTTCTTGAAATATTTTGGCTCATCTGGAGACATAAGGAATGCAGTAGTTTGTGAAGACTAAAACCCTGAACTGTGCAACAATTTTCATTTTACAGTTCTTAATGACAAAACATAAGTTGCTCCTGAACATTTACTTAGGCAAAACTGATTTTGTTTGTTTGGTTTCGTTTTACAATGCACCAAGGCAATATAGGTCCTATGGCGCCAAAATAGGAAAGATGATTTTGGCTAAACTCAGGTGTTAAAAACTTTAAAGTAACATAACGGGTCATAACATTTACCTGCTAGAGCTAAAAGATGCATATACTCGCTAAGAGATTCATATAAACCAGGAATTCGAACCTATTTAATCGCCTCTTACAATCATGCATGGATAAACGGTGGCTGCAATTCTGATGCCTCAACCTTTAAAGGCAAACCCTCAATAACAAGGGGGAAGCAAAACTGGTCACCCAAGAAGAAAGCAGCCACTTGTAAAACCAAGCTAACACAACAACTAACAAGATACCAACAAAGTCAAAAACTACACACCTTCTCTCCTCCCTTTGCTGATCACCCCCTTCCTTTCCCACGTCATCTGGATCCAATCGCAAGTCATGCTCGTAAAACGCACCTCGTTTAGGAATATAAGCTGGATTCTGCCTATCCTCATCAATGTCTAGTTTTGGCTGCTCCTGTAAATCGCATGAATTGTCAGTTTGCTGTTCAACTTTGTCATGTTCACATTTCACACTATTAGCTTTTTTCTAAAAAAATTATTTTCAGTTCGAAGTTGGAAAATTAATTTAAACACTTAAAACTACTGTCAAAGAAACTATATATCAAATTCTTTATTGATATGCATTTTCATTTTTCATCTAAAATATTTTTAAACAGACTTGAAATTACTTTTTGTATATAAACAATAAGATAATTTCATTTTGTGTTTTAAATTCTGATTCGTCAAATCAGAATTGGCAAAATGAAGTGTTTACATTTCACACACACTTACTCTATACTCAAGAATTTATTTTCAGCGAGAAGTTGGAAGACTAACTTAAATACTTTAAATTGCTGTTAAAGAAACAGGTCTGAATCATCATCATGACTCAGATTGGTTAAATAGGTAGGAATACACAGTCCTAATCAGAAAGTAAAATTAAGAACGTGAACCTCTCCTTCACCACTAAGAACACTAAAACAATCTTTATTTCAATTTGTAATTCATGTCTGATATCATGAATCGGATTTCCGCCGAGGCCGGGAATACTCAGCCGTAATCAGAAAGAAGAATTTAGAACGCAAACCTCTCCGTCGCCACTCTGCCGCTCTCCGTCAATATCTTTTTTCTTATCACCAGTCTCATCTTCTTCTTCCTCAGCGGTTTCCTCGTCTTCTGTCACATAATCATCACTGTCTTCTTCTGTCTCCTGTACCAACAATTAAATCACTGAGTGAGACTACAAAAAGTGTTAGAGCACCACACTAAAGTGAACCATATTTCGATTCATACCTGTCCTTATAACTTAAACATTAGCTGCTGTATATTGCATATTAGCAGGCTGCAATGACACATGGATTTTGAATTTCTATGCGAATAAGGGACTGAGGATCAGATATTTTAAGCGTCCTTTTGCAAAAAGTACCCATAAAAATATGCTCAAATAAAAATTTCCGAGGCTCTGCACACAAGGTGCTTGAATGATTGAATGCTAAAATCTCGTCTTTTAACACGTAACAATGCTCTTTAAGACACCTACTTCATCTGTTTACACCGAAAAAAGCGTTGTTTTTCAACTTTGGAAACATAATTTCTGAAAGTGTCTAGAGGTATTGCTCCAACACTATTGTCCTAAATTAATAACTAAGAAAAGGGTTAAAATTTGCATGAAAAGCATTAGAATAATAATCTAGGGGTAATCTAGTTAAATCCTTGAGTGAGGCGAAATTTTTTCGTGACAAATGATGTTGAACATTGAATCAAATGGTCATTTGTCTCCCATCTTGGTTAATATCATTTCAGATTATAAATGATAAATTTAGCCAGAATATAATCTATCCAATTATAAATCAAGCCAGGTTATAAATCAATACAGATTATAAATCAATAAGGACTATAAATCAATTTAGAATATACATCATACAAGGATATAAATTAAACAAGGATATAAATTACATACCTCAACATCCCTGCTATCATCTGCTGTACTTTCATATTCTGATAACACAGGCTCTGAAGAGCAAAAATTTAAATATATTACTTAATCTATCGGTATTGTAAGACATAAAAACAGCAAGCTTGAAACTTAAATAATCTTCATCAGGGTTTTCACTTTTATCTGAGGCAACACATGCTCCAAAGAAAATAACCGATTTTGCCAAGGGTGATATACTTTAATAAACAGGCTTAAAATACAACTGATTTTAACAGCATTTTAACCAATGGTTTGGATCGCCAATAGGCTAATAATGAAAACCCTGTTCACTTATTCATTTGGAAATAATTGGGGGAAAAACAGTAATAAATTATAAAATTGTAGCATATACACAGTAACAAACTTTGTAATGTTAGAAAATTAACTTTTAACATGGGCTGCTTTATTTTATCTGGTGGAAGACTATCTATTCTTGAATCAGAATTCTATCAAGTTTATGTAAATTATTTATAAACTCTTAAAAAAGATTAACAACATGTGCAGACCATTTTTTATGACTAATTGATTAAAACATACCTGCATGTTCTGATTCACTTTCCTGAAACAAAAAATAAATAATTTAATATCAAAAATGCTCACTTAAAGTTTGTTAGTCCTTAGAACACTTTCTTTGTTAGCATGAAAACATGAGGAATTTACAAAAAAAAATGCTATAAACATATATATAGGTCACAAAGGTATAAAAGAAGCCATTTAGAAAACATATGCAGGCATCGACAAATCTTGCTCTCCTAATTTGGTTGGATGAGAAAAAAATTACCAAACTCGCCCGGCAAGATTCTCCCGATCCAATTAATAATTCTCTAAACATTTATAAATGAAGTTATATGTCAAACAATCAAACTGCAGACGCCTTTTCAATCATATATATATCTGTCAAATGAAAACCGGAAATCAATCTCATGGCCAAGTACAAAGTTTTACTGAATCGATTAACACCTCCTCCTTCGGTATCGACAGCAGCATTCGACAATGTTGTAAACATTCGCATTCCCTAAAATTTTATACTTATCCATAAGGCTGATTCCGTTAGAATTGAATAAAATAAGTAAACAGACTATGTTGAAGATTATATTATATGAAAAAGTATGAAAAGTATTATAAACATTGTGTAATTAAATAATGTAGTTAAATAAAGTCTGACGTATACATATATACAGATATAGACCGGTAAATAGTAAATTTTTATGTGTTTTTGGTTTTAACTATTTATGTTTGTCAAAATGCAGGGCGAGTACATTTTGTTAAGGGTGAGTAAATTATATTGTAGGGCAAGTGACCCTTGAAAAATTCTTTGGGGACTGATTCTGATTAATCCCTATGTAGAAACATTAAAAATGGAAGAGTTCTGAAAAGACCAGGGGCAGGCCAAAACACCAGGCCGTGTCAGTGAAACATCAAATCACCGACAAAGTGTAACTTCAATAACGACAGAAATGCTTTTGCTTTTAAAACTTAAAACAAACAAAAATTTAAGATTTTACTTGATAACAAATAGATGCAAATCAAAGTTTTACATTTCACTCACACTGCAAAAAATATCTATCATTCTCAATAAATTGTGAACATATCCCGGTGATGTAGACATGAAAAGTGAAAATACATCACCTATGTTCGGGCTAGAAACTGCTTAATATTTATTATCTTAAATATATTTCACTCTACTACCGGTAAAAATGACGATGGACAATTCCAGAAAAGTTGCCATATATATCCGGTCATTAACTTGTATCGCGAAAACTAATGACACACTTTCAGACAGGAATAAAATCGGTGCATTTGTAAGCCCTTTTTCATAAAATTTTAAAAAGTTAATGTATACAAATAGTTTACAATGTCAGTTATCTAATATATCGATAATTTCGAATGCAAATTATCTAAATAAAGGTTAATTCATGTTTATACTCACACATTCCGTACTTCGCCTTCGCCGTCTCTCCGCCATTTTGTATGTTAGTTTATAGTGCGACACTATGCGGTTCCATCTGGTTCTACTATTAACTCTGAAAAAAAATCAAGATAAATCTGTTTTCGTGTTATAAACTAGCAATTATATTCAAACTTCTTTTCAAATTCTATTCTCCCTTCATGTCATTTATATCAAATTAAAAAAAACCTGATCGAGCAACCCACATACCCTAAATACGAACGACTATTGCCGCCCCCCCCCCCCCGCCCCCATCCAAACCCAGCACTATCCGTTTTACAAGAAAGGCATAAAAACAAAACCAAGCTATGACAGGCCAGTCTCACTTACCTATATTGTGTCTTAAATTCATTATGGACCATATTGTGGTCTCCAGCTCACTGAATTATTATGATAAATGTAGTATACTAAGCCCCTTCCACCATCCAACAATTTTAGGTCAAAGAGAAGCAACTATAGCTAGTAAGCTTTTGCCAAGAAGTTTATGAGTTTATGACAGCTTAAAGAAAAAGTTTACAGACTGTGCGATGTTATTATAGTAATGGACTTCTCGAAAGCATCTGATAATTAAGGTAGACCACCATAAATTCATATGTTAACTATTAACATACAATGTTATTATTGTATTAAACTCCGAAACAATAAACAGGGTTATGTAATTTTTTCTTCACCGCTCTCAAAGAGTAGCCCTTAAACAACAAACTTGAAAATGTTGCAGTCTCGGTTTGAGCCTCTTCATAGACGATACTGGAAAATGAAAATTACCATCCACGCCCTAGCACCGGCTTATGCAAAATTCAGCATTTAAACATGACAAAATGATGAAAATTTTAATTTGGAGATATCCACACATGTGTACATACGTGCACCTGTCAAAGGAACTTCCCATTCTCGATCTCTTCTGTACCCTACCCCTGTTCCTTTCATACATCAACGGCTAAGAGTAAGGCTCATGACGTGATATGATGAAACCATAGTTTACGTAAAAATTCTTCTCAGCCAGATTCTCAACTCTTACAAAATGGGCCGTGGAATTTAACCCCGATATATGCAAAATACTAAGAATACCCCAATTCGATCCTTAGATAATACAAAATTAAAAAGCATCAAATTCTTCTAAATACGTCGGGGTGACAATCTCCAAAAATTTAAACGGGACGTACCCAGCATATCAAATTAATCCGACATCCAAAGCAACCGCTTTATTAAATGAAACACAAGAAACATCAAATAAAACTGTTCAGGAGGTTCCATATTCAACTTTTGTAAGATCACAAGTAGAACATCGTTCTATTAATATATTGTAGGAAAGCTGCGGCCAGGTATGTCTGAAACTACAACTATGATTTCGCCAGTTGGATCACCAGTATGTTAAACTACTTTATAACAAAGAAGGGTTTCACTAATATTTTTATATAAAATGTGCAAACATCAGCTAGTCTTTGTTGGTCTCATTCATTTAGTTTCAACTAGAAATTCAATTTTTCTCATACGCCAGTATCGTACCCAATATCACCTGAACCCCTTCTTTTCTAGAACGGTCTTGTTTACGGTGATTGTCGCTCTCCTTTGTTAACTTTTATCTATTTATATTGTCATATTCAAAGTAATGTAACAATTTGGAAAAGGAAAATAATGCATACATGTATGTTAAAATACTTTCTTCATATAATGTTTATATGAAGGAATTCATATGCTTATGATTCCGACAAACGGAGATTTTTTAAATTTCATTTTCTCACATTTATTTTTGAAAGAAGAACATTTTTAGTTTTCGCTATAAATTTTAAGTCTATTTTAAAAAACGAACAGACACTTATCAAAAGATATGGTCCTTAAAACGAATATTTTGCAAGATGGATAGTTGGCTTCGAAATTAATATACAAAATTGTCTCCTTGAGAAAATCGGCTAGCCGGAGTAGCCGGAACACCCGGACGAGACAAAAAATTGTTCCGGCTGTCTGGCTAACTTCACGAACATGGGACAAGTTGACCAAAAAGGTGACGAGTTGACCGCGGGACGAGTTGACTCGTATTCGTTTAAACTTTGTCAAACTTTTGTTAGCATTTGATATTTTTCTGAGATGAGGTGACACCATTATTTTACGTATTGGAATGGGGTAACAATCTTGTTTTGTCCATTTTTGATTGACCAATATGCTTGTTGTGTTTGGAAATCTGTATATTAGACAAACCGTGATTCACGTGGTATGCGAGCAACAATCCACTTCTTTAGTAAAAAAATGAAGTTGTATAATCAGTTTTTCTCTCCATAAAATCTAGACAAAAATGCCTGCAATGGCTTAAAGCAACGCCCAATACGTTCAAAAAATTCAGTAATGAAGATACACGAAAATAATATTCTATTTATCACATAGCAAAATGAAGTCTGTTCAAAGTGCAAAAGTATCATTTTTCATTGACGCGCCTATCGTGTAAAGCTAACATTTAGCCGTCTTTACATATTATGGTGGCTGATTTGGTACACTTTGCGCGTTGCGTTGTCGATAGCGACAACACAACGTATATCGTTATCGCCTTTTTGTGTTGTCGTCTTGTCACTAGCAAAACTCCAAACGGCGCGTTGTCGCACCGTCGTCTTGTAGTCCTGTCGCTAGCGAAGCACGCCAAGTTCTGCGCGTTGTCGCTTGTCGTTTGGCTTATATATACATGTATACAAAAAGCCAACCCTTAAGCCGAGCGACAATGTGACATCGCGACAACACGCCGCACGACAACGCACCGTTTGGCGTGCATCGTCAGCGACAGGACGACAGCGTGCCGTTTGACGTTTTGTCGTGCTGTCGATAGCGACAACACGGCACAAAAAGAGTTCCAAATCAGCCACCATAGTATATCGCAAATGACGTCACGTCAAAATATATGCACGGCCATGCAATACCATTTTTACGGAGTCGCAAAATCGGCACAGGTATGTGATAAAATCACGTATTGCGCCATGTGAAACAAGCATTTAACGTGATAAATAACATGTACACATGTTAATATAAATACATTTGTAGAATTAAGTTCCACCGTTAAGCAAGTATGGTTCCGCATGTAATACAAAATTATTAAATGTCTACTATATATTGATCCAGTATTTATTTTCAATGGATCATTGATCGTTTTACCAATATAATAGATATTATGTAACGTTATACACGTTCGTTTGTAGGGTAGCCAAATATTCCGAACCATTTAAAGCTTCCCTATAACAATTAGTTAAATTTTTTCACCTTCGATATATAGCTTTATAAATGAAAACCAAGCGTCTAAAGTACAGATCAAATCTGATTAAGGTTGAATAAATTTCCGCATTTGTTGAGCTACCAGACCTACCCGGTCAATAACAGTAGTTTGTCATTAATATAGAAGTTTGGAGTGTCTTTAAACATGTTATTTTACATCCTAGTTTGACCGGATTCATTAAAGGAAGAATGAACTGGCAGAATAAAGCTGTGAACAATAGACGCGTAGATTAACTAATTGATTGATTAACTGATTGACGAATTGATTGTTTAATTTAAAGGTTCTACAAGGCGACACAATATCAAATACTTATTTTTTTTATTGTTAACGTTTTGTATTGTGTGCGGCAGGAATTAAAGTTTGGGATTTTAACAAGTATGGCGGCGAGTTACCGTGTAAGTAATGCAATATATAAATATTTGTTTTGTTTTATTGATAATTACATTTTTAAATCTATATTAAATAATTGATTTAAATCTGCATGAAACATGCAAGGTTTTATCTACAATAATACACTTTGAATACAACTTTATAGACGAAAATATGTTTGTAATCAAATAAATATAATTGAAAGAACCCAAATCAAATGAATTGAAAGAACCTATACAGCCGATCTGTTGACAATGGTTATCTTTTAATTGACTGGCTATAATTTATTTTGACAACTGTAAGCACATAACAAGGAAGTTTAAATAACTCGAAAATACCAAATATGCTTTATGCTGATAACATTGAACTACTGATAGAAGTACAGATAAATATTTAGGATGAATATTATTATCATTGTATTATAGTAAACTAACACATTCATTGAACTAACTCCTACTAAGCACTTGACAGAAGCTCCTTAGCATCATGTACATCAAAGTATCATACTGATGCAGAATTGAGCATATTATGACATTATAATATTATTATTACATTAATGTAAAGTTAGAATTACTCCAGGTGTAGTAAAAGCGTGAAAAGTAATGCTCAAGCTATCAAATTCACTGAATGGCGATAGTTAAAAGTCTTTTTATAAGTGAACCTCATTTATGCACGTTTATTCTGTTAGCATGCACAGACACTTTATAATAACACATTATTATAGATGTTGAAATATGATTTTTTTTCAAAACGGCTTATATTAAGTTTTTTTGATATATATGATCAGTACATGTGCTGGGATTGACAAATATGCATTTTATTTGGATTTTAAAGGCGTTTTGAGCTCCAAACCCCAAGTGTCTGTGTTAGCATGGTTAACATCTACCTTACAACATATACATAATGTATGTAGCTTAATGTGGAAAAAGAATCTACTGTATATCTAAAAAAATTAAGTATACAAATATTAAGTGTTATTTAAAATACACATGTATCTTTATTTATTGAACACGACTGATGGTCTATTTTGACTATCTTTTATTTCCAGGTCGGAGCTTGGTCACATGACCTTTTTGGATGTTTTGATGACGTCAGCACGTGCCTGTCTACCTTGATTTGTCCTTGTATAATGTTTGGACGGACGGCAGAAACAATTGGCTCTGGAAATTGCGTAATTTGTGGTAAAACTTATACATATAGCTAATTTGAAACAAAATAATACGTAAATTTTATGCAAAACTGTATATAAAATTATTCAGTGCAAATGCTACACTAACGTCTTTAAAACTATGTAAAACCGCACGCTTTTTTGTAAGTGATTTTAACAGTTAAAATATCAGAGAAAATGTATAGATCTAGATCAATGTATTCCAATATAGATCGTTTTACAATACGATATTTCCATTGAAACGGAAGTATAATTCCGCGCATGCGCATTCTGCGCAGCACTAAAAGGCAATCATTTTACGAGTATTCAACAATTTCATAAACAATTTCACCGTAGGGAACGTGTTACAGTATCGCGTTTTCCGGTTACAGTATAGAATTTTAAAGATGGAGGATTATTTGTTGGGAGGACAGGTAGGTGATTTTTATTCCGGTCCATACTACAAGTAGTTTAGTTTCTAAAAGATGTTTTTGTACTTTGCTCTTAAGGAACAGAATCCGGTATCTAGTCATATATTTCTTCAGACTCTTAACCGCAGATTTATCGCTATATTGTCTCATAAATATGCAGGTTTGACAGTTTGAAAATTTGAATCGAGAGACCAGCCCATTTTTCTTCAATTTCGACATTATTTATGCATGCCTAGAAAAAGTAAATCTGCAAAAAGTTAGTCCTTTATGTTAGGAAATGTATATAAAAGTAAATGACCAGTTTGAACCTTTTTTCTGTTCGTTAAATGCGTTGAAAAAATAAACAATGTTAAGTATAGAGCGAAGGTGATTTTGTGTGGGGTTACAGCATAGACCTAGCGCTTTTTATCCGAAATTTTGTTACAGTTTATAACCCAGAATTTCGGTTACAGTTAGACTTCGATATTTTCTATATATACTAGGTACATGTATGCATGTTACATATATAGACTTTTTAAATCTCTGTGAGCGTATTGGGCCGATGGCTATTCGTCCGTCTGTCGTACACATGTGCGTGCAATCTCATCGCTCAGTAAGTACTTGACTAAATGTGATGAAAATTTACATGACTGTCTACCAATTAATTTGTTCAAATGGCCCTTCGGTTGCAATCGGGGATACGAAACCCAAAACATAGATTTTTGAAAAAAGCAATGTCTAAAAAAGACCCTTTCTCATCTCGAACCAAAAAAAGCAATTTAAATCAAATCATGACCATGGCGTCATTTCGAATGCTTCTTTTGTTGATGTTACGATTATTTTTGTCATTATTAAATTAAAAGTCGTTTTCTTTTCAGACATCCTGTATAGCATTTTCATGTTACTGAAAAAAGAAAATAATATTGAAAGTTAAAGAGTATAAATTAAGGTCAGACAATTACAATATCTTCCTCTAGTGGAGCCTGATGGAGCGGTACATAATATAGTGGCAGAGTCGGGATATAGGCCGTCGACTTCAAATCCATCTTTCATTTACTGCTGTAGTTGTGAAATCCAATCACAACTTTTGGATTCTTTGTATATGAGGAAATCCTATCAAGCTAATTTACGGAAGGTCGGTGTTTCTAGTCAGGTGCCCGCTCGTGTCTGAAATGTTTCACAAAGGGGTATCTTGGTCTTTCTCTACACTAAAGCAGGAATGTTTTCACATGACCTTCAATGTCGTTTAAAAACTTTAAAATCCAAGAAAGCCAAACGTAACAAACCATTTTAAATACCTACAAAATACATTATTTGGTAGATTTGGAAATTCCAACTTAAAAAATAAAATTTAAGGTTGCAGTATTGCTTCACTTTAAATACTTTTTAAATCATTCTTAGGGGTATTGCCTTGCTTGTTCATTGTGTCTTATGATAGCTTATCTAATGGTATGCAGGCTTCATAAACCTCCGATCCCCTCTCAAAAAATTCATTTTATTTAGTTTCACTCATTTGTATTCTCGTTTAAGGCACACGCAATTTTAAACCTGGGGGTAATATCCGCTTTTAATAGAATGGCAATAACGTGCCACATTGAATGTTCCATGATAACCGCCATATGAACACACCACAGATGTTAAAAAATCTAAAGTGTACCAGTTTATGTTTAATGTGAATTCTGCTGAAGCCGGTGCTAGGAGGCGTGGACGGTAGCTTGCAGTTACCAATACCGTCCATGAACAAGTTAAGTCAAACTGAGCCTGCAACATTTTCATGTTTTCCGTGTTGGACTTCTGTTAAGAATTCTTTTTTCTCTATTTTATTACTAATAGGCATTATTATAATGTGTAATAATCTTTCTTCTCTCAATACAATTCGATAACAGTTACTGTTGTTGTCGTGAAAACAGTCCTTACTTAGGACATTGCTTATTCTGCAAAAAGTTTCAATCTGAAACTTAAAGTAAGAAAAATAGCAAACTATAACTTTTTTTCTGCTGAAGAAAAAAAGTAATACAACCTTTCAAGTATGTATAGAAAAGTATGAGTTATTTCATAAAAATAATGGATACACGAACTTTGTTTGCAATTTTGCAAGTATCTAAACTGTAACCGACATTTGGGTATAAACTGTAACAAAATTGGATCAAAGTCGCTAGGTCTATGCTGTACCCTTAAAATAAACCTCGCTCTATACTGTAACATTGTTTATTTTTTTCAAAAAGCATTTTACCAACAGGAAAATAGGTTCAACTGGTCATTTATTTTTTATAAACGTTTCTAAACACAAAGGACTAACGTTTTGTAGATTTACTTTTATCTAGGCATGCTTAAATAATGTCGAAAATGGGAAAATGCGTTGATCTCTCGATTCAAATTTTAAACCGTCAAATCTGCACCACATTTATGAGACAATATCGAGATAAATCTACGGTGCAGGGTCTGAAGAAATATATGACTAGATACCGGATTCTGTTCCTTACAAGCAAAGCACAAAACATCTTTTAGAAACTAAACTTCTAGTAGTATGAACCTGAATAAAAATCACCTACCTCTCTTACCATAAATAATCCTCCATCTTGAAAATTCTATACTGTAACCGAAAAACGCGATACTGTAACACGTTCCCTACGGTGAATTTGATGTAATCTGAATGATTAACCATTAGTTTACAATAGATTATTTTGATAAATAACCGAACATAACGAAGAATCTAAAGAAGAGGTTCTATTCTCATATTTACTTCCATCTTCTAGGCTTGACATTGACTTTGAGGTGCACACGTATATTACAGTAATTTATTTCATTGTAACTGCTTTGCTTTGTCCGAAATACTTATTAAAGCAGCAAGAGATGTTCCAAGTAGTAAAATGCGGGTTTGTAATAATGAAAGTCTCTAGTCAAACAATTGTTGTACAAAACAATATTTTTGAAGGTTTATCACTGATGTTGCCGCCTCTCAATCTGGTGAGCAGAATGGTTGTGCGTGGCCGGATACGGGACAGCAAAGGGATTGACGGAAGTGGCGTGAATGACTTCCTCCTGATTGTTTGCTGCCCAATCTGCTCTCTAGTCCAGGAGGTACAAGAGTGCCAGGATATGACGCCGTGTGCACAGAGCATGTGCAGAGACTAACCGGAAGAGGATTTTGTACCGGGAGACAATTTTGTGACTTTACAGGAAATGACCTTTATCAGGGTTTTGTAGGAAGCTTTCAGTTGACTGTTGATACATTAAATTCACTCATTATGTTACGTATACAATTTTATACTCATCCATTAGTTTAAATGACAAATCATTTCAGTCAGTCACTGTACGTAGAACAAACACAAACAATGTTCTGTTCTATATTATACATGTATATATTGTAATCTATAATGCAAATGCATGTATAATCAATTTCCATTTTTGATGGTGTTAATTTAAATGATATCTTTCTTTACAAGAAACCATGTTTGGGAAAACTAAACTCCAAAGTTTACCTTAGGTAAACATATTTGTTCATATTCATCCGTTTTCACTCCACAGTTATATGATAGATGTCCACAGTTAATGTCTGTTACCAATTGTCTATCATGTAGAAAGTTCCCCGCTTGTTTTGTGTATGGGAATCTTTGAATTGTTATGTATCAATGTTGATACATATGTAAAATTATGTAATATTATATGTGTGATGTTTTGTTGAGCCAAACGCTAATTTACTATATCATCTCAATATAAAAATATTGTTCTGTTGTTGGTGTTTTTTTTATATATATTTTGTCCCTAATTTCATTGTATTACATACCATAAATATTCATTTGTTTGACAACTACATGAAATTGTAAAATAAGATGAAAATTTCAATCTGCATAGCTTAAATTTCTCTTTTGCACTTGTCCGATGCTGAATAATGTAGGAACTGTAATGTTAACTCTAAAAATCAATTGGCAATTCCATACACGTATTGCATTTAATATTCGAAATTATAATTTTCAGGCATAGCAAACCCAAAGAGATTGCCCTTTTATTACAATATTTATCTTTCTTATGTGTGTCAGCCACACGATCTATTGTGGTGATTGGCTTCAAATACAATCGGAACACCTCGGCTATTATTCATTATAACGTTTTTATCCGAAGTTTGACGGAAAGGGCCGAGAAGATGCGATTTCGTCAATTTCATTCACATTTTACACCGGAAGTAACAGTTACGAGGTGAGTTTGAAACTTCCGGTTAATTATTTTTCTTTGGAATATTTTTTGTTGCGTCTCGCTTGCGCCCGCTCCATTGTGGTTCCCGGCATTAGATACCCAGTACTATCTACAGACATATGTCTAGGGACCGTCAATTTATTACTGTCAAACTGATCCGGGTTACTTTCAGTATTCTGATATGCGCATGATGCCTTTCGGTTTTCGGACTGTCCTCCTATTCCACTGTTATCAAATAAAAACACATTTTCCTCAATATTACAATATGTGACCGCGTTATTTCTTGTAGCATGCTGTCCCCTTGGTGATTTCGGCAGTGTGACGTAAGGGTTATCAATTGTGACAACAGACATTCTCTGTGATTTGGCGTCGTCTATTTCGTCATACACGTGAACACCACTGATACCCTGACTTGAAAATGAAATAATTGACTCCTTCTTTCTGAAATAGATTTTGAAAAACCAAACAATATTTTACAAACTTTGATTATTACATCTTAAAATCGCGAGAAATATATACGTCACAGATTAAATTTATAATATATAATCAGCTGGCATCATGCCAACATCAATGCCGTCTGATCATGGTCTGCACTGTTTATTTTTTCATTGAAATTATTCGTTAAATTCTATGAATGATTTTATCCGGATTGAAAGACAAACCAGTGCATTTAACATAGTTTTCAAAACAAACTACTTTTGAAGATCAAAATCTGCTGGCGCATTTTTCTTTTTGATGATTAATTTAAAAACTTTAAATAATTGTATTTAAGAAATTTATAAACTCACGGTATGTTTGCCTTTTTTGATGGTTTACCTCTTTTAAAAGAATCTAAAAAATGAAAAGAAATAGCAGATTAGTAAAATAAATGCATTTCTTCCGTACTTTGTGGTACTTTATAATTTGAAAATTCGAACTCCGTGACCTCTTATCTACAATTTTGTAACTTTGAATATCTTTTTAAAGAAATTTGTAAAGAAGTTGAAATATCACGGATGGGTATCACGTGATTTTTATGGTTACGCAAAGAAAATATATAGAGTCTCTAATTAATCTGCAAAACTTTACCTCTCTTTTTAAGTTGCATCACCAGCACGCATATGACAATAATCAGAATGAGAATAAATACACCCGCACCGGCTCCAACAATGCTATATAACGGAAGTTGTACGACCTTTTCGTCTGCTCCTAAATTACCACTTCCGGGACTGGTTTCGTCAATGTCTGAAATTTAAAAATCGTGTGTCCGTCACTTTTTGCATATTACTCACAACGTGATTTATTCTATTAGCTTTGAATGACAGTGCTAGTTGCTGACTTAGAAGATTTAAAAGGTTATATGATAAACGCATCTATATCCTTAAGATTTTCTTTGAATCCTGTCTCCGACTAGCCAAATTCTAGGCTACTCGCTTAAGGTGACAACGGAGTCAATTATCACTGAAAATACCTAAAATGAGATATTTTGCTAAGTAGATTTATCAACCTTTTCTGAACACATTTGTGATTTAATTTTGGAAGCAGTTAGTCCAAAAAATGTGTTTTTAAACGTTTTTAAACGGTACCTATACTATTTGTATCGGCTATTCGCGTAACCTGTCAATTATCGATAACGCTCCGCCCCCTGTTGAGGCATCAATGAGGGAAATCGGTAGTTCCATATATCCGTGAATTACAGGTCCATACTGGTCCATACTTCTCGTAATACATGTATCGTACAACTACCGTACATCTTTTATGAATATCTCAACATTTAGCCTTTTTTATAAATTAAGAAATTGTCGGCCAATGTACGTAACATAATGTATGAAACATAAATATTTAAGCATAGCGGCAAATCGCACGACCACGGGGTTGGTTAAAAATGTAGCTAAAATATCCATAATGTGTGAAAATAATTTGTCTGTCCCGTTAATCTGATAGATATTACATTGAGTTGATAGACTTTTGTACGGATTCAAGGGCGTACTTTACATTCAACCTCGTTTTCTAACAATGTCAAGTAAAACAACAACAAAAACAGACAACATTTTTTATGTGAACGCCTATATGACTTGTGGTAAGGTGTCCCTGACAAATTTCTAAACCATTTTAGATTGTCTAAGGATGATTATTTCTCTATGAATTAAAAAAAGATATTAAAATATATTCTCAGTGAAAATAAATTGTTCGCTAGTAAATCGGACACAGTACTACAAAGTATGACATATTATTGTCTATCCCGGTAGAAAACTGGATCTCTATGCCGTGCATAGATGATATTCATAATAGAAGTCCAAGAAGGCCAGATCATAATGATCGAGTAATACTTTTTATTTCTATTAAAATATGTGAGCCTTATCAATTTGGTGGAAAAAATATATAATATCCCGTTCTTATTTGTACATCTACCATGGACTTTAAAAGACTGTCAGAAGCTCAGTTTTTTGTTATTTTTATTTTATATTTTTAACGGAATATTATACACGAATACACAGGCAGAGTGACACTGGTATAATACAATAATAATGCTGATGATAATAATAATAAACTTCAAAAAGGAAACAATTAAATACCCCGCTAGCCGGTGCGCAAATGCGTCCATTTCCCCCACTGAGTGCCTCAAATTTTACCGATAGTCACGTGACATGTGCGACAGATACCAGACGGAGAGTAAATCACGTTAAGAATTGAAGAATTTTCGGCTATAAACTGATATAAATCAGCAGCTTTTTAATTGGTCAGATGTCACTGGGTCATAAAATGTTGTAAGAGTATGTTACCGCAACTTGTGACCCTCTCTGGTGCGATATTTGTGTATTATGCAATTAATTATTTAGCGTGAAACGTAGGGGTCCGAGAGAGAACAGCCGATTTATGACACTTCGTTTGATGCGGGTCGGACTAACTTAGAATCGGCATAACTTTTTTAATAATCAAGCAATTAAACATGCGGTTTAAAGCACATGACAGGAAATTCATTACGGAGGAACCGTGTCAGGGATTTTTGTTTGCTCAATCAGCGACTTAATGATCTTTAATTACGTAATATGTATGGTGAAAAAAGTCGCCTAAAATGTTTGACGTTACGTAATATTTTTTTGAGAAAAAGATAGAAAAATTTGAGACACGGTTCCCCAGATAATATAAGTATGGTTATTTTCCAAAAAGTTTGATGACAAAAAAATAAAAAATGACTTTGATATGACGATTTAAAATTTTAGGATTTTTATTCAAAATCAATCATTTACAAAGGCATTTTTTTCAAATATGTTATTTTTTATGATGATCAACGACATTTAATGCACAAAGATTAAATAAATAACAATTATTACTAAAATAACTTTGTTTAAATGACATTTATGTGAGTACCACGGAAAGTGTCTGTTGTCACCTTAAAGGGGCTCCACTGAGGTTTTGACATGGCGGTGCTGATAATATTTTTCCCAAGATTTGTTTGCTAATCAATTATGTCTTATCCAATAACTTGTGCTCATTCCCTTATCCTGCTTCATCAGAACAATCATTTTTATTGTGAAAAATAGCCCCAAAACGAAAAGCGTTGCAACGCTTTTCTCTCAAACATTCGGCTAGTAATCACTTATAAAATCGATTAAAAATTTTTTCAGTCCAATATATCATTTGTTATCTTTTTTTCTTCAGATTTTTCGTTTTATGTGCTTCACTTGATATTTGTAAGATTTTCAAATTATATGTTTAAATTATGCCTTTAGACCACAGTGGAGTTTCTTTAAGGATTCTTTTTACACTTTACTTTATTATAACAGATATTTAAAATAAATCAAAAGTTAAATACACAGTGTAATATAAAGGCATTACGTTCACACTCAGAGATCGAACAGGTTGTGTTTTCTTTTGAACTTCCGGTACATCTCTGGTCTTCAATAATAGCTTCATTATCATGACACTGTCTTTCACGAGTCATCACTCCATATCCGCATGTTACACTGCAAGCTCCCCATGACTGCCAGGTTGTCCATTGATTAGCCATTGATCCTACTGTGGCTAAATTAAGGATAAATGACATATATGTATTGTTTGATTTTATTACTAGTAACCTGTCAACAGTCAATGTACATAATATGTTAATCTTCGATTGATTTCCGGCAAGTTTCGTATTGATTTCCGGCAAGTTTCGTATTGATTTCCGGCAAGTTTCGTATTGATTTCCGGCAAGTTTCGTCAGTTGTACGCTGTAAGATGTGATGAAATCTATTTTTATTTTTGTGTCTATAAAATGATTGTACTGATCGTTATAACGCAATAGGGTAAACTTCGTGTTTATAATTACTAAATGAAATGCCCTATGTCTGGTAAGATTGACACAGCGTAGTTCCATGTTTTTTCATCTTGATATTTTCAACATTATTGAAGCTATGATTGTCCTTTATGTTCGTTTTGTTTTAATATGTTTTTATACAAATCGGGACAGTGTTTCTAAGTTGCTTCATATCCGTGTAGACAATTTTGCAAGCGCTAGGCCATTTCCATTAAAATATACAGCAATAATAGGGAAAGAGTAGGTCTAAAGCAATGGCAACAGTGGCGATCGAACCACATACCTCTAACATATCAGGCAATCACTCAACAGAATGTGCTACTGCACAAAGCTGGTGTGACATTTCAAAAACATTTGTTACATGCTCAACATTAATTCTCGTAAACTACACGGACAGAACCGAAGTGGCGACGAATATATTCGAATGAGTGCTACAGTGTATTCATAATTGACAGGTCAATAAAATCAAACTGTAAAACATCAGATTTTATTCAGCATAACCACACATTATCAGTTTTTCAAAACCAGCTTACATTTAACCAATCTTTCTTAAAATTTTCATCAAATTCTATCTCCGACTGGTCAAAATCAAATATACTTGGTTAAAGCAAGCCGTTGTAACACATCACTTTATTTGACAATTTTTAAATATATCATAATGGTATTACGTTCACACTCGGAGATCGAACATGTTCTGTTTTCTTTGGAACTTCCGGTACATCTCCGGTCTTCAATAATAGCTTTATCATCATGACACTGTCTTACACGAGTCATCACTCCATATCCGCATGTTACACTGCAAGCTCCCCATGACTGCCAGTCTGTCCATTGATAAGCCATTGATCCAACTGTGGCTATATTAATGGATAAATGACATGCGTGTAAAACATTAGTTTTTAGTATAGGTACGTATTTACAAAAATTAAATTGGTCAGGCGCGGCGCAATCCTATTGGACAGTACTAATTTCAAACACTAATTCTGTTTAAATACACAAAATCAGTTTTTAGAGCCAACTTTTACCAGATATTACCTATCGTTCTTGGTAAATTTATCGGATAAAATATAATCGTCATATACGCTGTGCTGTTATTATCAAAACCATGATAAAATATGTTTTATTTCAATTCCGAATTGACATTTACAAATTGCACGAATAATTTAATTTTATCTGACATCATTAAATATTTTGGCAATAAATTTAGAGGTGTTTGTTTTAAAAGCACAACTGCTGATGTATACAATGGTACACTACTAGATGTTTGTACAACGTTATACCAGAAAATGTTTGCACAACGCTATACCAGTAGATGTTTGTACATCGTTGTACCAGCAGATGTTTGTACTACCAGTAGATGTTTGTACAACGTTATACCAATGGATGTTTGTACAACGGTATACCAGCAGATGTTTGTACTACCAGTAGATGTTTGTACAACGTTATACCAGTAGATGTTTGTACAACGGTATACCAGTAGATGTTTGTACCAGGTTATACCAGCAGATGTTTGTACCAGGTTATACCAGCAGTTGTGTGTACTACCAGTAGATGTTTGCACAACATTATACCAGTAGATGTTTGTACAACGTTATACCAGCAAATGTTTGTACCAGGTTATACCAGCAGATGTTTTACTACCAGTAGATGTTTGCACAACGGTATACCAGTAGATGTTTGCACAACGTTATACCAGTAGATGTTTGCACAACGGTATACCAGCAGATGTTTGTACTACCAGTAGATGTTTGTACAACGTTATACCAGCAGATGTTTGTACTACCAGTAGACGTTTGCACAACGGTATACCAGTAGATGTTTGCACAACATTATACCAGCAGATTATTGCACAACGGTATACCAGCAGATGTTTGTACTACCAGTAGATGTTTGTACAACGTTATACCAGTAGATGTTTGTACAACGTTATACCAGTAGATGTTTGTACAACGTTATACCAGTAGATGTTTGTACAACGTTATACCAGTAGATGTTTGTACAACGGTATACCAGTAGATTATTGCACAATGGTATACCAGCAGATGTTTGAACTACCAGTAGATGTTTGTACAACGGTATACCAGTAGATGTTTGTACAACGTTATACCAGTAGATGTTTGCACAACGGTGTACCAAGAGATGTTTGCACAACAGTATACCAGTAGATGTTTGTACCAGGTTATACCAGCAGATGTTTGTACTACCAGTAGATGTTTGTACAACGTTATACCAGTAGATGTTTGTACAACGTTATACCAGTAGATGTTTGTACAACGTTATACCAGTAGATGCTTGTACAACGGTATACCAGTAGATGTTTGTAAAACGTTATACCAGTAGATGTTTGTACAACGGTATACCAGTGGATGTTTGCACCTCGGTATACCAGTAGATGCTTGTACAACGGTATACCAGTAGATGTTTGTACAACGGTATACCAGTAGATGTTTGTACAACGGTATACCAGTAGATGCTTGTACAACGGTATACCAGTAGATGTTTGTACAACGGTATACCAGTAGATGTTTGTACAACGGTATCCAGTAGATGTTGTACAACGGTATACCAGTAGATGTTTGTACAACGGTATACCAGTAGATGCTTGTTACAAACAGTATACCAGTAAGATGCTTGTACAACGTATACCAGTAGATTATTGCACAATGGTATACCAGCAGATGTTTGTACAACGGTATACCAGTAGATGTTTGTACAACAGTATACCAGTAGATGTTTGTACAACGGTTCACCAGTAAATGTTTTGTACAACGGTATACCAGTAGATGTTGTACAACAGTATACCAGTAGATGCTTGTACAACAGTATACCAGTAGATGCTCGTACATCGTTATAACAGTAGATTATTGCACAATGGTATACCAGCAGATGTTTGTACAACGGTATACCAGTAGATGTTTGTACAACAGTATACCAGTAGATGTTTGTACAACGGTACACCAGTAAATGTTTGTACAACGGTATACCAGTAGATGTTTGTACAACAGTATACCAGTAGATGTTTGTACAACGGTACACCAGTAAATGTTTGTACAACGGTATACCAGTAGATGTTTGTATAACGGTATACCAGTAGATGCTTGTACAACGGTATACCAGTAGATGCTTGTGCAACAGTATAGCAGTAGATGCTTGTACAACGTTATGCCAGTAGATGTTTGTACAACGGTATACCAGTAGGTGTTTGTACAACGGTATACCAGTAGATGTTTGTACAACGGTATACCAGTAGATGTTTGTACAATGGTATACCAGTAGATGTTTGTACAACGGTATACCAGTAGGTGTTTGCACAATGCTATACCAGTAGATGTTTGTACAACGGTATACCAGTAGATGTTTGTACAACGGTATACCAGTAGATGTTTGTACAACGGTATACCAGTAGGTGTTTGTACAACGGTATACCAGTAGATGTTTGTACAACGGTATACCAGTAGATGTTTGTACAACGGTATACCAGTAGATGTTTGTACAACGGTATACCAGTAGATGCTTGTACAACGGTATACCAGTAGATGCTTGTACAACGTTAAACCAACAGATGTTTGTACTAACCAGTAGATGTTTGCACAACGGTAAACCAGGAGATGTTTGTACTACCGGTAAAATTTAAAACATTGAATATTTTCGCATCTGTATTTCTAAAATATCATAAAAGTTACATGATTTTCTAATTAATTTTGTCTGCTGTAGTTTATCATTGGTGTATAATACTTTATTTCAAAATGAAAGTGTGTTTAATTTACCGAAAACATCACATTGTTGGATGCCTTCACATATGGCTGTTTCTACCTTGTCTCCAAGCAAACACGTGGGTCGTATGCATTGTCTCGTGCGCGTTCTTTTTCCGGGACCGCAAGACATGTCGCAGGCAGACCATGCGCTCCACAACGTCCAGTCTGTAAATGTTAACATTTTTATCAGACTTTAAAGCATGTACTTGATATCAGGTCAGTGTTTGTTCTCAACCAAATTCAAGTGTGCGAATAGTTATGTGATAATGCATTGTTTTTCATTGGTATTGTTTGCCACACGTCTTATGCAGTATTTTTAGGGGAATGGGCGAGGTTAGGCCAAAACCGACACTGTAAAAAACATGGGGGACTTTTTTAAAAAAATTTTTTTTCACGATTTAGTAAGACATGTGATGCCACTCAATTGCGCGACCGGCCACCTGGTGGAGGTGGGGTGGGGGACTACCGACCTTCCATATAATCAAATAAAATACAAAGCCAAATAATTAAAAATAACTCACGAATATCATAGGTTGTCAACACATATATTCTCCAGCACAAATCCGGACTTTGCCCACTACTAGGCTTTATCAGAAATGTTCCATTATCACTCTGTAGAATGTTGTGCAAGGTGAGCACCCAAGTTCCGTTATCGAGCCGTCCTATAATACTTCTATCCACGTACTTTCTGTCGGTTTCTGTGTATGACATATTGTATACAGTGACAATAATATTGTCGAAAGGGTCGGTTAAGACGAATTTGGCACATTTTGACACGTCAGGAAGATGAAAATTCACGGCTGCACCAATCCTTACGTTGTAATGAGTTTGTGTTCCTGTAGCTGCAACTAATTTTAAAGATTCAATTTTCATTTTTTTCATATGTTATAAAAAAATAAACTTCATTTAACTGATATTACTTAAAAGTACGGTATCTGAAAAAGCGTTGTAATATATGAAGTAAAGTTCATATATTTATAAAGTTGTAGTCAGATACACAATGCAACTTTGTAGTTTTCGTTAGATATACAATGTATGTAGTTTTCCTAAAATATATTAGTTGTGGTAAGATATATGTAGTTTTCGTCAAATATATTACTTGTGGTTAGATATATGTAGATTTCGTAAGATATATATGTTGTGGTAAGATATATGTGGTTTTTGTAAGATATATTACTTGTGGTTAGGTATATGTGGTTTTCGTAAAATATATTAGTTGAGGTAAGATATATGTAGTTTTCATCAGGTATATTTAATTCTGGCAAGATATATTATATTGTCGTAAAATATTTATAGTTTTCGTAAGATAGATTAAGTTTTGTTAAGATATTTAGCTTTCGTTACAGAAACTAAGTTGGGTGTACGGACATAATCCCCTTCGGACAAAATCCCCTTCATGTATTTTTGTATATCTCGACATAATCCCCTCCATGGGTGGCCATAATCCCCTTCATGTGTGAAATTTTGAAGTGGACAAAATCCCCTTCATAAAATTGCTACCTAGGACAAAATCCCCCTCGAATGAATTTTCTTTAAAAGTGTTTATAAAGTTATAAAGTGGGTATTAGAGCGATATACTGCATTATGCTGTGTGGTAAATATCTTAATGTATAAATAAGTAGAAAATATTTCAGCAGAAAAGCACATTCAATTAGCACATTTTGTTCACATTAAAATTGCTTTGTTAAAGCATTCATAATCAATCAAGTATTGCAGTGATCTTGGTTTGATTCATTATTCATCAATTTTTTAGGGAGTATAATAATACATTAGAAACCTATGAAACAAGGGGATTTTGTTCGGGTAGTGAAGGGGATTTTGTCCAGCCTTGCAAAAACATGAAGGGGATTATGTCCACCCATGAAGGGGATTTTGTCCGGGTATGCGAAGGGGATTTTGTCCGAAGGGGATTATGTCTGACATTCACGAAGTTGTGGTAAGATATAAGTAGTTAAAGTAAGAGTTACCTCATTGTTGTAAGAACCAAACATAGTTTCTGCAATATGTATTTAGTAATGGTAAGATATATGTAGTTTTTGTAAAATATATTAAGTTATTGTAAAATGAATGTAGTTTTGTTAAGATATACTAAGTTATTGTAAAACAAATGTAGTTTTGGTAAATTATATTATGTTGTGGTAAAATATATGTATTTTTCGTAAACTATATAAAGTTGTGGTATATGTATGTAGTTTTCGTAAAAAAACATTAAGTTGTGGTAAAAATATATTTATTTTTCGTAAACTATATGAAGTTGTGCTAAAATATTTGTGGTTTTCGTAAAAAATATAAAGTTGTGGTAAAATATATGTAGTTTTGTAAGATATATTAAGTTGTGTTAAAATATATTTAGTTTTGTAGGATATATTAAGTTGTGTTAAAATATATGTAGTGTTGTAAGTTATATTAAGTTGTGTTAAAATATATGTAGTTTTGTAAGATATATTAAGTTGTGGTAAAATATATGTAGTTTTGTAAGATATATTAAGTTGTGGTAAATATATATGTAGTTTTGTAAATTATATTAAGTTGAAGTAAGATATATGTAGTTTTCGTAAAATATATTAAATTGTGTTAAAATATATGTAGTTTTGTAAGTTATATTAAGTTGTGGTAAAATATATGTAGTCTTGTAAGTTATATTAAGTTGTGGTAAAATATATGTAGTGTTGTAAGTTATATTAAGTTGTGGTAAAATATATGCAGTGTTGTAAGACATATTAAGTTGTGGTAAAATATAATTATGTAACTTCCGTAAAATATGTTAAGTCGTCGTGAGATATAAGTAGATTTCGTGGGATAGTTGTGGTAAGATATAAGTAGTTTTCGTAAGATATATTTAAAGCTGGTAAGATATAATTATGTAGTTTTCGTAAGATATATTTAGTTGTGGTAAGATATATGCAATTTTGTTGGATGTTTAAGTTTTGGTAAGAGAAATGTAGTTATTGTAACATATTTTTAGTTATGATAAGATAAATGTAATAATGTAGTTTTCGTAAAATATATCAAGTTGTTGTAAGATATATGTAGTTGCACACAGACAGATTTGTTGTACATTAAGCTGTATTTAGGTTAAGATATACTTTTGACGTTGTGATAAGATATATGAAGTTCTGGGCACATACAAAAATGTACATGAAGAAGTGATCAGATGTTTAAAACGCAAACAGTAGAAAGTTATATGAAGCAATGTCGTAATATATGAAACAGAAGTAATGTATTGAAGTAGTGATCTGCTATGGTATATGAATCAGTGATCTCATACATAAAGCAATCATATGATACGTAAAACAGTGTTCCGATACATGAAGTGGTGATGCGGTATTTGAAGCCGTGATCTGATATAAGAAGCAGTGATCTGATAGATGAAGCAGTGATCTAATATATGAAGCAGTGATCTGATATATGAAGTAGTGATCTGATAGATGAAGCAGTGATCTGATAGATGAAGCAGTGATCTGATATATGAAGTAATGATCTGATAGATGAAGCAGTGATCTGATATATGAAGCAGTGATCTGATATATGAAGTAATGATCTGATATATGAAGCAGTGATCTGATATATGAAGTAGTGATCTGATACATGAAGCAGTGATCTGATATATGAAGCAGTGATCTGATATATGAAGCCATGATCTGATACATGAAGCAGTTATCTGATATATAATGCAGTGATCTGATACACGAAGCCGTGATCTGATATTTATAAGAAGTACTGATATGTGTAGCTTGTTTGTGCAGCAATAGATAGCATGTAATACGCTCTATATTTTTCTAAGATCTATATTTTATCATCGTTGACGCCGCAATTTTAACTTACAAAAATATAGATAAAAACTGCAAAAAAAAACAACAAAAAAAAACAACACCAACACAAATAAGAAGAAAAACAATAAGTCTTATACCTCTGACGAATCTTGCGAAAATAAGGCACGAACATACGATTAACAACGAGTTACTATTCATTTGCTGCATAATCCAAAGTTAACTAATGTTAATAGAATGACGTCACTTAAACGTCAACGTCAAGTGCATCACATGTACACTGTTACGTTAAGGTTTTATATAATAGCACCAATTCAGTATTATAACAGTTCTTGTTTAATAAGATTTTTCTTAAACACCTTTTTAAATCCAGCCTAATTTATTGATAAATTTACATCATCTGATAAACAGACCACTTCACAATAAATGATAAGTTCAAATAGATGTAAACAATACTATCAAACTTTCAGCTTCCTGAAGCACTTTTCGAAGGAAGTGCGTAAACTTTAAGGTTTCCTTTGATTGTCCCGATCAGCGACATGTACAATTAACATGATTTGACCATTTCTGCCCCTACACCGCCAGCCTTAATCCAGTCAGAATCACATGTCATCAAAATAGACGACAGACAACAACAATTACAACAATAAATAAATAAATAGATAAATAAATAAATAAATAAATGAATAATTGAATGAATGAATGAATGAATGAATGAATGAATGAATGAATGAATGAATGAATGAATGAAAAATAAAGAAAGAAAAAAAGAAAGAAAGAAAGAAACTCCTCGTAGAACAGGAGCTTACGGGACCAGCAATCCGCTATATTTTTGTGGTGTTATCTATGTATAGAATTGTTTTCAATAACATCAGGCCTCGGTCAGCTCAATCGGTAGAGTGTTTGCCTGTGAATCGGGCGTCCCAGGTTTGATTCTCGGATGATGCAAGCCACTTTCGTTGTGATTGATAAGGAAATTATGTCTACCGTATTTAAAATTGTATTTTAGTATCTTAATAATAAACATATAACATGTTCCAGGAAAATAGCTGATTCCAATGGTATACATGTATACGGAATATTTTGTTGTAGTAGCTTTCTGAGGCTTTGTATTTTGCTGTGAACAGCGCCGGAAAATTAATATCTTTCAATTTTCACACGCAGCGAGTAGCAAAATGCATCGCCTCAGAAACTCACTACAACATAATTTTCCTTTTATTAGAAACCTACATTCTAAGACAAAAAGATATTCAATTTCTTGAACTTTTTTAAAAGTTATTTCACAAACAAAAATTAAGATGTCTAGAAGTAATATTCATTTATGACTGATGAATACACCACTTTTGTCAAATAAACATCATTTTTGTGATAAATAGAAAACACGTGACTATCTTATATCAGGCGATGCTGAGATGGGCAGAAAAAGCGGGGCAGACCTTGCCCCTTCGACCCCTATATCCGCCTCCCCTGATACAATTGATATCAAAGACATACTTAGTATCTTATTCTCTATTGATTGCTGTATCTGTTTTATAAGGGAATTGTTAGAATGTTGCTTTACGTTAAGATAATTGACTAAATTTTATCAATAAAGCGTACATTTTATTTTGTCAATATTTTGTTTCTTTTTGTTTCGTTGTAATAGTTTATGCTAATAAGTGACAGTCTGTGTTTATATTTGGTGGCGGTAATATTGAACTTCTTGACAAAACACTAGTCGTATTTAAAGTACCATAACAAAGAGAAAATCGAAGGGAAAGTTGATAAATCTATGTTCATCTATTCAAACGACATAATTATGATAATTTGTCCTTGAAACAGGGATTATTTTTAGGGCTTATCTTCTTAAAATACTTTTAAAACAATAATCAAATTTGTCCTGTTTGATTGTCATTCCAGTGTAAAGATTTTTTTCTAAGAAATTGTATTTTTCTATTGTAACATGTCGCGGCTGATATAAATTGGAATAACTCTTTGATGTAAATAGAATAAGGAAGATATCACATCATGTGGATATCATTGTTAAAGATAACGTGCACTCCAAATAAGAGTATATACGGTAATTAAGAGACTATTGTTCTATGGGTAATATGATTGGAGTTGATGAAATCCTGTCCTGCTTTTTATGAAATTAAGAAAAAAAAATTAAAAGTAAAATATTGTAAATTGAAAAAGTTAAAAAAAATCACATTGCAAAAGATACTAACAATCCGGTTAAATTACCAGAATGAGGTCAAAATATGCAGAATTAGCACCTAATGAATACGTCACGCAAGGGTCTTTCAAACAGAATTTGAAAGACCCTTTGAAAGACCCTGTCCACGCAGGAGAATATGGTGACTTTTTATTTTGTCAATATTTCGCGTTGTTACTTGAGATAAACTATGTCAAATCGTTATTATAATTTACACTAGTAAGTGAAAGTCAGGGTTTGCATTTGGTGAGATAAAATCCATTTTACTCATAGCATATCACACAAAGTGTTATTAACATCCTTGCCGAAATTTTGTGGCCTGCGTATTAATTTTTGATTCCTTCTTCTTCGCAATTGTATTGTGTATCTTGTTCTTTCATTCAATACAATTACTGCACCAAAAAAATTTTAATTCAACCATGCAATGTTCGGCGTAAATATGTTTAATTACATTATATACGAACTTTTCACCTTTAAATGATCAACATGCTCTATTTTGATAAATTTGAAGACATGTTCTTGTTTATGTTAGTGTGTCTTTCTAACCGTCTATTTATGTATTTGTAACTGCGAAATACAATTATGCCGCTGTAATAAAGGGTAATAAAACTTAATTGATCTTCGTAACAAAGGATCTTACCTCCTGTTGCGTAATATCTTACACAATTTACGACCTGTGATGATTATGTCTCACACGTTCAACACTTTAGGGGAAAATCAGACCTGCCATTTTGCAATCCTGTTGATTAATATTAAAGGCAACTTTATTAATGTCATTCAAAGAATGTATGGCAATGCAAAGTCCTGCGTTTCTGTAAATGATATGAAATCTGACTTTTTATATGCAATATAAACGTTAGACAAGAGGAAAATTTATCTCCCCCGCTGTTCTCATTCTATTTAAATGACCTACATGATTTTTTCTCATCTCTAGTAACTTTGTTCATGGCGTAACTTGCAGCAAGCACGGTCATGATGACTCAATTCTTAAATATCTAAACTATTTGTACTTTTATACGCTGATGATACTGTTATACTTGCTGAATCAATATTTTTGCACTTATATGAGCAATATTGTGATATTTGGAAATTAAACGTTAATATTTCAAAAACAAGTATTGTTATTTTTCCTAAGGGCAGACCGAGACAATTTACATTTACTTTAACAGATGAAAAATTGAAATAACAAACGATTACAAATATTTGGGTATTTTATTTAGTTGAAGTGGTTCTTACATAAATGCAAAGCGTGCTATAGCACAACAAGCTTCATGAGCAACGTATTCCCTCACAAAGAAAGCAAGAGATTTGTTAATGCCAATATATTTGCAAAAAGAGCTATTCATAAAAACTGTCAAGCCAATTGTGTTATATGGATGCGAAATATGGGGATATGGAAATTTGGACATGATCGAAAAAATTTATTATTTTGTACAGAGTTTGAGTTGTTAAATTAAGTAAGCAAGAAACAATACAATGATGCTGACAATTTGTTTGATTTGGGGTAAAACAAATGCGCCCAAATTCGCTCAAAAAGAAATCATTATTGTTTTAATGTCAACAAGGTTAGCTTTTAAAAAAGCTATAGTAGCGACTCGATTCGTAATTTTTTTCCAGGGGTGTGTTTAATGTAAAAATGACAGTTCTGTTAGCTGAAGAGACTTCAGCGAACATCAAAATAAAAGTGACATATAAAGTAATGGAAGCCAGTTCTCTCAGATTAACAAAGAGGAATATGAGTATATACGAAGATGCATGTAAACAGATAGAATGAAGTCCCTATGTCTATGCACATTTACTATAGGGCCTGTTAACCTTGACCAAAAATGTTAGCAGGTAAGACAGGTAGAATACATAAAGATGTCTTTATACGAAGTTAAGTTGTAATATGTTATTTAGTATTGGAATGAGTGACAGATGATATAAAACATGAACAAAATTTTAAAGTGGTCAACAAGGCAATACCACATGCCAAATATTTAAGGTTTAGGCATTAATAATGTATAAAGGTGTGCGTATGTGTTTCTATATAAGAAGTGTCATTGACCTATGTGTAGAACAATATGAACAACTATGAAAGAGGACTCCTGTAGTATGGTAAGTGTGCAGTCTTTGGTTTCATAGATATCATTTAAAGAGAAACGAAAGTACACATTAGGGTCAACAGATGAATAGGTATCCCAATTCCTGTTTATGCTCACCAGAGCACAACTTGCTCATAGTGCGCATAAAAGGGATTATATTGTAAGAGGGCTTGGTATAATGATCATCTCCTGTACAAATATTCAACGACAGTAATCAACACAAATATAGCTTATTCCTTTTCCCTATATATCTAATACAACCCCGGATCCCGGGCGCCCCGGATCCCGGGATTTACCCCCTCCCCACCCTAAATACCGGAAGGATAAAATGACCGGAAAAAAAGGAAAAGAAAAAATTGCGCAGAACCAGATGTACACTTATATTAATTAACCAAACAAAGACTTACTACAGAGAAAACAGGTGAAATCGCTATTTAAATCAAAAGTCAGTGTAAATATGATTTATTGAAAAGAATGCATGAAAACAAACATTTTAATCATCATTATATGTTTACGCTCAAAGTAATACTTGCTGCATTTTAAAAATGGCGTGAAAATTGAAGGTTTTTTTATGCTATGTAAGATTAAATTTGATTGGCTAAATAATTTTGGATTCCAGCCCTGACAGATAAATTCTGTAGAAAGCTGGAAGCCAAGCTCCGATTAAATTTTCGGATTGATTCGGAGTTTTAGGTTGTTTCTCAGCAAAATCCTAACGTAATGCGAGCCGGCATAACCAATGGTTGCACTCCAGTTTCACAATACATAATGGCATGAGGTGTTGTGGTTATAACATTTAAAACAAGTTTCAAATTGTACAAAAGAATAAATTTTTATGGTTAACAAATGTCAAAAACATTTTAATTGCATGTGGCTTCGAGTTTTTTTTATTAAGTACATACACAATATGCACGTAAATGCAAATCATATTACGAGAAACACAGCAAAATATCGTTATAATAATGAATTATCAATAATTTACATAGGGATATACATACGTCGCTAACATTTTCAGGTCGAAACTGCATAAAGGGTAGCAACTCTTACATATGTCCGATTATTTAATGCGTAAATGATGTAAAATAAACCGGGTGATGTCTTGTTCCGGTATAATTGGATG